TTTTCTAAAATATCAGGCGGAACTATTTGCTCCGATGAATTGATAAAAGAGGCATGCGGATAAAAAGTTTCAAAATTCCTCTCTACCTTGTTATTTTCCGTCCAGGTATTAAATATGATTGGCAAAAATATAGATGTTCCTAACGTTGAAAATTGATTTCCGACCGCTTCAAATCCACTTTATCATTTTTTTAAAAATAATCAATCGCTGCGCAATAGAAGTAAACACTCACAAAACAATATGACAACTCTGGACTACACCACTCACATTCACAAAATTATTTAAATTATGTTCCCATTCTTATCTATCGCCTCCTTCAATAAACGAAATATCTCCTCCTATCATCAAAGAAGATAAGTTTAAGATACGGCTTTCTCTAATTAAAATTCATTGCAATATAATTACCATCTATTAGTCTCATATCATTTATTTTATTTATATTAATTTTTCTATAATTAAAAAATATTGGTTATTTTAAGTATGCCGCAGGTAATAGTGGTACAGGTTTTTAAAATATTATACAATAATCATTTTGATTAACTTTTCTCAGATGAATTTAAGTTCATATCATCTTTAACTTCTGCATGGTCGGATTTAAAATACCTTATTTTAAAATTATTTTATTTGAAAGACAAAAATAATTAGATAAATCTATAGAATTCTTTTTAGAAAATGAAATCTATAATAATTGGCATAGAATTCAATGACAATTTGCCTAGATATTTTGAAAAATACAAGTTGGTTAATGGCAAAAATGGTATAAATTATGACCTTTCTGTAAGGTTTGTTATTAAATTTTATTTTAAAATAATTTCAATTGTTATTAACTAAAAAAACAAAACATTAAAAAGTAATCCGAATATTCGTTCCTTCAGTATAATGATTCCGAACAACTTCATACTTTAATTATCCTCAAAAATAGCAGAGATAGGATCTTAAACAAATTCTTTTTGGCCCTATTTTGAACCAAAGTGGCGGATGGTAATATTCAATTTTAAGTACGTTTGGGAGGGACGAGTGATCTTTCCAAATGAGATAAAAACAGAGCGAGTAGTCACGGAGAAAATCCGTGAACAGCTTCTTTCAATAACGATACTTTCTAATTGACGAAGAGAAAAATTATTTTTTTTTTTTTAAATGGTCTCGGTTCTTGATGCCTCTATATGTACTAAATGGGCAGCGAAGTGCACAATATTCGAAAAACCTGTTTTTTAAAAGACTGTAGTTAAAACGATTTGGATAAACATCCCGTCATTTTTTTCAAGTCAATTAATTTTTCATGTATAGTACCTCTTCGAGAAAATTATGTATAAAACGAGATTTTAATTGAAAAAAAATCAAGACTGATTTCATCAAATAAAGTAATCAAATAAATGTATGGATATAATCATATTGTTCTCCTTTCTTACTAAAGATTATTTATACTATTCACTTTTTTATAATATGGTATGAACGAACTATTTTATCATTAGCACTAAAGTCCTTAATTATGACAGAATGTGATATAGCTCAGCAGTGGCAGATCCAGAGTTTTATTTTGGGGAGGGCTTGTTTAATTTTATTTTTTTCTGATAGAAAAAGGAAAACAGTTCATCGCATATATGAATTATGTTTAATGGGTCCTTGAATGTAAAAAATAAAGGTAATTACAGGAACAGTAATGCATTTAAAGATAAATTTCTTTAATTGTTTCTTGTCACATGGTTACATTATGTAGCTGTATATACATTATAATTTAAAAAGAGGATATATTGTGATTATTTAATTATCGAAATGAAAAAATATATTTTTCTATTTTTTTGGGAGGCTTCAGCCCGAAACAAAAAAATGCTGGTTGAGTAAGTTGAGAAGTTGAGTAAGTTGAGAAACAAAAAAAAGTTAGGCATTGAGTAATAGAATGCATAATAGGAAAACAAAATGTAATTCCCTATAACAAAAGTAAAACTTAATAATGTAATAATATGTCAATAAAAAATCATACCACGTGCTTTATAAATGCATAAGTAATTTATTTATGAAGCTAAACTCCTCTAAGAATGTTAGCAATGTTCGGAAATAATCTGAAATCATGTTAGTCTGGCAAGAAGATACACAAAACAATTGTTAATTAACTATCAGCAGCATTTGTAATTATAGAAACAAGTAATTTTATATAGAAATTGTTCAAAGGAATTATGGACGAATATTAACATTTGGAGCTAGGCAAAGAGTTTCAAAAGGAGGTAGCACGAATGACGAAGGATTTGCTGAAGGGATTGGTTTTATGGGAGGGGATGTATAAATAATTAGGTTGAGGTTTGGTATTTAGAGAGTAAATACAGATTCAGGAGCTCGGCGAGACTTCTATAGTTCGTAGGACATGGAAAAGGAAAATACCAAGAAAGAATGGATGGAAGAGAAACATGTTGAAGAGAATGTTGCATTCAACAAAACGGAGGCCTCTTTGAACAGTTACTCTAAATGTTGTAATAATAATAAACAAATAGTAATAATAAATAATGAATCTTTAACCTTTGGTGTCTGTTTAATAAATGAGTTTGGGATATAGGTTAATATGAACTTTTTTGTTTATTTTGTGTTATTGAACACAACCTAAAATAGTACGTACCAAGCAATTACGAAACACCCTGTACATCAAATATTTCCAAATTCGTCCTAAGGATCCTCGAACATGTTTTACCCCGATGTATGAGATGGAAAGCAAGGCCCTGCGGATTCTAATGCATCTCTCTCGTAATACTGAGCCAGTGGAGGCAGAATATGGGCACTAAAGCTCTATTTAGATCAGCGGTATTCCTGACTCCATTCAACAGTTTCATTAATATTATATGCTAATTTTTTCCATATCTACCAATTCTTCCAAACTTCCAACATGCCTGAGGTTATTCGAAAGCTACAAGGAAATTAACATCAACTGTGTCAACAGATGGTCAAGTCATAATTGAATTGAAGCTGACTGCAGAAATAACCAAAGCTACCCTCCTAGTTTACAGGCATCTCGTTAGTTCCTTCTCTTAAACAGCTCCTTCTTTTCTTCCACTGCGACTACAATTGCTAGGTATATGGAGTGCTGTCTGTAAGACTGGAGATGAGATTGAAGAGACTTGTAAATTACTTGATAAGATTCATCTTTGGGATTTTCAGGTCTCCTGCTGGCTCACCGAGTTGAAGAGGCTCTATCCTCCATCTCGACGGCAATTCTTCCTAGGTATTTGCCTTTTCCATGTCCTCAGAACCATTAATGTCTCCCCGAGCTCCTTCATCTGTATTTTTCAATTTACTCCCTAAATACCAGATTACAGCCTAACAACCTATATATCGCCTCCCATAAAACCACTTCCTTCTGCAAATCCTACCTCATTCGTGCTACCTCGTTTTAAAGCTCTTTGCCTACCTCCAAATGTCAATCTTCGTCCATAATTCCTTTGAACAACTCCTATATAAAATTACTTGTTTCTGTAATTACAAATGCTGCTGACAGTTAATTAACAATTGTTTTTTGTTTCTTTTTTCCAGACTAACATGATTTCTGAACATTGCTAATATTTCTAGAGGACTGTAGCTCCAGAAATAAATTATTTATGAATTCATAAAGCTGCAAACACATTAATTAAGTGTGAAAGATCCAGCCATCGCCTGAACTTCAGTTATAAAATTTATTTTATAGTAGATCTCGGTACTACTGCTGATTCAAACTTCGAGTTGAGTTGTTAAGGTGAGTAGATAATCAAATTAACAAATTCGTTACATCGCACTATAATGGAACTATAGTCGAAGGGGGAGGGATGTGTCTTTTATAATAGTTTTTTGTATCTCTTTTTTGTTTTAACCGAAACAAAATTGATCTCTTCCCAAAAAATTTTGAAGTTATCAAATTATCGAGAATATACAAATTCCATGCGCCTGCCGGTTTTATTCCAAAACATCCAAGCCAATTTATTTATTTTTTTTTATTGGTACAAAAGTCATCCCGGAGTGATCATCGAAACTCGGTGGCAATTGCTATTCATTTTTTTTTTTTATTTCAATGTATTTATAACTATTTGGAAACACTAAGTCATAAGACAAAGACTTTGACGTCCATTTTTATTCCTATTAAATTCTTAATGTTTTTATGACCGTACTTGAGATAACAACCTATAAAAGAGGAATTACATATTCAGTTCTTAAATTTTGACACTTTGTATGATTAGAACATGTTTTTCACGGTTAAAACACTATACTAGGGAAATATATAAGTAGATGTTTCCATACATCAGCACGTTTCAGAATAAAAGATAAAATTTCTTTTATTAGTCAGCCTTATCTGACTATTATATTTCACAGTACACTACCAATATATATATATATATAATATATATATATATATATATATATAATTATTATTATATATATTATTATATTATTTTTTTTTTATTATTTTTTTTTTTTTGCGTAAAAGCATTTAAATGAACTGTATTTAAATGCAAGTGAATTTAAATAATCACACATATGATTATTTGTGTGCTAAATACAAAATGAAATTTGCTTTCAATCTAACAATAATTAGGGTGCAGGTAAATGTTTGTAAGTTTCTCCTTATCGTGTGGACTAAATTTATGACACCTCGTTGATATTTTTATTATATTTCCTGAATGGAGCATGAATTTCCATTTATTTTATATTTCTAGATAGGAATGTAACAGTCGATGACTAAACTTAAAAAGAATAATGGAATGAATAATTTAAAACAATCTTGTTATGGATGGCAATGAGTGTATTATTTGAACATGAAATGGTTATTATTTTTTAAAAATTATTGTATATCAACTTCTTCTTTTGATTTATTATTAATTTAGCTAATAATATACGTGAGACGTATTAATTTATTTTAGTGTAGTCGAACCTAAAAATCGAATTAATTATTATGTTTTGGTACAGAAAATATTACGAAATTAATCTGGGTTCGAATCTAAACGGATTACTATGTTATCTTCAATCTTGACTATCTTGATCGGGCAATGAGGTATATAAATGCACAGAGTCTGTCGTACAGGCTAGTCTTGAAGATGACTTTGATGTTCGCTGTGTTTGTATTTGTCTTAATGGTTCAAGTACGTCCCAACGGATGCGAAAGACCCAACATCGTATTCATTATTGCGGACGACTTGGTATGTATTAATAAGATTTAGAATACATGCATTATCTGTAGATAATAATAGTATAATAAATCAACCTAAATAAAAAAACTAATCGCTTATGATAAAATTGATCGAGTCAGAAACTGAAATTAAAAAAAAACAGGCTTTACATATGTACATAGTAAATATTACAATACATACTAAATATTACAATACAATAGTACATAGTAAATATGTACATAGTAAACAAAATCCACAAAATATAGCAGAACTTACGCTATGTCCTGAGACACTTTAACACGTTTTAGCCACTTTTTTCGGCTCAGGTTCAATTAGGTAAAATTGGCCCAAAAACGTTATGTCATTAGTTTATTACAAAACATTCTTTCGAAGCTTATAGGAAAATTTATGGTAATAAATGTTTTCTTTTCAGAATTAGTATGGTTACACTTGAAAGTTTTTCAAACCAAAACCAGTTAAAGATAAAAGAAACAGAAAATGATCACTAGTAATTAAAAGTAATAAATTTATCGTCTCACCAAATATATCCAAAAATTCTTACCTGGAACAGAGATGGAAAAATTAATTATTTTAAAAATGCATACATGGTTTTATTTTAAAGAATGATTATATATATTTATAGAAATTTTTTTAAAGATATTTAAAGAAATAAATTGACCTAGAAGAATATAAGAAATATTTGCAGTAAATATTATACTAAAACATTACGTTATATATATATATATATATATATATATATATTACTAAAACATTACATTATATATATATATATATATACATATATATATTTATTTCTAAGTACTATAATAATAACCAAAGAATCTATAATTTATTAATTTTTTTCGGGTAAAATAATTAGATGGATCATTATTACAATAATAACAGTTTTCAATAAAATTATTTTTCTATCATAAAAGTAGATTTATGAATATTGTTTATATTATGACAATTATTAAACAGATTTATTGTACCTAATAAGAGAGCAAAATTGTTGGAAGAATAAATTGTACTGTAATAATTTAGAATAATAGATAGTTCTTTTTTCTTTCTGTAGTGTGATGAATAATCAGTGAGTGTCATTCTGTGTAAAAAAAAGTTATATTGTAATAGTAAGTAATGCTACATATTACTACCCATAGTAATACTAAGTCATTAGGCCGGTTGTGTCTTATGGCGGTGAGACATGGGTACTCTCCAAAGAAAGTGAAAGAATGTTAAAAGTTTGGGAAAATAAAGTACTCAAAAGAATAGAATGAGGAGCTGAAAGAAATGTTCTAAGAACCAGATCTGGTTTCTTTTGTTAGAAAGAATCAGTTGAGGTGGCTGGGATATGTAGAGCGGATGCCGGCGAATACGATACCCAAAAAAATTATTGGATGGCAAGCCTAGAGGAGAAAGAGTTAGAGGACGCCCACGATTTAGATGGTCAGATGTTATAGAGAGAGTATTGAGGGAGATGAGAATCAAAGGATGGAGGAGACTCCCCAGGACAGGGAAGAGAGGAGTAGGATTACAGGCCCTTGTAGGGCTGTAGCGCCATGGAGTAAGTAATACTACTATGCAGAGTAATATGGTTATAGTGATAAGTGTGTGTGGGGGGAGAGTGATTCCTTTACTAAAGGAGAAGTAGAAACCTATGTAAGTTTTCAATATTCGGAGGTAAAAACATTCCTTTATGTAAATGATTAATAAAGTTTTGGCGTAGAGAGGGGGCGGTCCTATCGCTGGTATTGTGCCACAGTCAGCTCTCCAGGCTGGAAGTACAGTATACTACTTAGCACTTATATAGTACACTAATACAGCATTCGTCACAATAAAGGTCACCAACAGAACACATTCCAAGACCATCTTCTCTTAATAGCCCTTGGGATTGGATAGGATTGGACGTTGGAGTAAGTCAGAGGGCTCTGAGGAGGCAACCTCTAAATGAAGGAATACGAGAAGACTGGCGGCTCCGACGGATAGAAGTCTTGGCTTTACAATGAGTTGTAGAGCTATCAAAGGAGAAGAAGAATGAATGATTAAAACCATGCTCAATCTGTAATGTATTAAAATCTAATACAAACTAACGGTTCGTGTTAAAACTTCCACGGGTCAGCTCTCATAAACGTACGAGTAGGTTTGGTAAATTAAAACATTAAAAGTTTATACAAATTGCAAAATATATATAGACTTTCTTTCTAAGACTCCTTTCCACTTATCACATATTATTGGATACCCTTCATATAGATTGACATAAATATTTTTATTACAAAAGAAGCACATTAGCAAACGCGAATTACATACAAGACGTTAATATCTTGTGGAACATCTTTTAGAATTGTCGCATTAATCTCTAAAAAATTATGTTTCCTACATTAAAATTAACTAAATACTTTAGGAATACAGAACATTTATTATTTTTAAATATATAAAATTTTTCGGTATTAGAAATTGTTATCCCTTTACTTTTATATCCACAGGGCTGGAACGACGTTGGATTCCACAGCGGTGATGTGAGTACCCCCAACATCGACGCTCTGGCTTACCATGGAGTCATCCTGACCAGGCATTATGCCCAGCCTCTCTGTTCTCCCTCGAGAACAGCACTACTCACAGGAGACTATCCTTTAAGGCATGGTAATTTAGCAACAATACGACTTCAAATTATTGTTAGTTTGTGTTAAGTTGTAAGATTGAGTCCTTGCGAGATAGTTGAGTGACCAACTTTGAAAAATAAGTTACAATAATGACTATAATTAAGAAAGTAAAAAGATGATTTTATCGGATTTTTGTTTGTAGATAATATAATATTTTATTTTTGCTGAACAAGTCACCCGAAGAATATAGATGACTACACAAAGATATAGCGGGAAAACAATACCTTGGAAACACAGTTGAAGTGTTTAGTAGCGAATAAAGTTGTTGGGATAGAATTCGAACGTATTTTTAAAATGGTAATCAGTTAATCTGAAGAGCAAGTGTTCTATGATAAGACCGAAAAGTAAAGGGAAGATTCTGTTAGGTCAGATACTGAGGATTTGGATTCAGAAGGAATTTAGTAGACGGAGGATTGTTCGCTGTGGATATGGACTATTAATGTTCCTGGCAACCATTACAATCCATGGAGGGTTTTGGTTTTAGAACCAGGTAAGAAAGTGGTTTCGACTAACGATTGTGCTAAGAAGAGATTTAGGCCATGATCGCACGTAACCATCAAGTTTTTTTTTTCAATCCATTGAAGTACTGCGTACTTTTTGGAGAGTAGATCTCCTACAGCCAAATCCAGATCTGTAAGTTAGGAGACCAGTGCCTTATCTATTGAGCTACTCCAATTACCCTCGGTTTCGGCGAGTGTCTTGTTATTATTAATAAACCAAAAAAAAAAATTACAAATAAGAAGGTGCCTTTATAGGCACCCCTTAAATGATCTTTAATTTTAGGCAAATAATTCCAAGAAATATATATATATATATATATATATATATATAATATATATTATTCATTATATCAGTAAAAAAAAAATTAAAAACTTATGGAGAATAAATTTAGCAAATTTTTCATTTTCATTATTACAGGAATGCAAAGCACTCCTTGCCTCGCAGGCGTCGACGATGGGTTGCCAACCGATGTAAAGATCATGCCTCAGGTATGTCAATAAAATATAGATTAGAACAATCTCTCTCTCTCTCTCTCTCTCTCTCTCTATATATATATATATATATATATATATATAATATATATATATATACTGATGATATAATAATATTATTTACCATCGATAGTACTTCTCCAAGCTTGGTTATAAATCCCATCTGGTCGGGAAATGGCATCAGGGATATGAAACTCTCGAGCAACTACCTACTAGAAGAGGGTTTGATTCGTTTTTCGGATACCTCAACGGTTTCTTGGGATACTGGGACTGCATACATTACATGAACGTAAGTATTACAAAATCATATGCAATCACTACAATTGAACTTATCAGTAACAAGTTTGTTAATAAGACAAATCAATAAAAAGAGTATTTATTTCTACATAATTATTTGCAATTATATAATACTAGTTTTGTAACTAATTTATTTTAAAAAATATTGGCATTCATTGTAAATAAAAGTCGCGTTTCCTTTCATATATTTGAATGAACAATTAATGTTTATAACTTCAATTTAAATATCTGCATTTTTGAACCAGAAAAACTCCATTACTGTTTTCGCTGGCAATGAAAAATTTAAAATATTCCATTGAGATGAGAAAAATTCCAAGGAAAATGTTTTTTATTCCTGCTCAAAAATGCATATATTTAAAACGGAGTTATTTTACATTAATTGTTGGCACAGGGAGTTGCAGGAAGGGATCTGAGACGCAACGAGGAAGGAGCATGGCGGGAGTGCTACGGAAATTATCTCACCGACCTCCTGACCAACGAAGCAGTGAAGATCATCAGGGAGCACCAGGAACCCGATGGTCTCCTACTGTTGCTCACACATGCGGCCGTACACACTACCTTCCTGGACATAGAAAGGGAGGCTCCGGAAGGTGTTCAGAACATTACCAGCAGGGGATATCTCAGGGGTAATGTAGGATTTCTTATATATATTTTCAAAATCAAATGCATTGGTATTTATTAAAGAGTCTACACAAAGGCCACTATAAATACGATATTGGGAAGAATGGGGGAGGGTTGGCAACCAGATAACCAGAGTTAGGAGATATTACAAAAGTACGAGTTCTCGTCCCAGTGCGGGAAGAGATTTTAAATTCCTCGCCCGCATCCCCCGACCCGGGAAAACCTCGAATAGCCTAAAAGGCGAAAAAGGGAAAGACAAAAAAAAAAAAAAAGATATTGGGAAGAAAATATTAAACAAAACAAAATAGTGCAAACAGTACTCAATGATGATAGGTTCGTTCGCTGAATGAATCCAATGATCCATACTTCCTTATAGAAAATATTCAGCTCCTCAATAGATTGCAATACAATTCAGTGAACACTAGGATGTTTTTGAAATTATTAGTACAGAGGGACTTGTAATATGGCAAAGGTACATATTACCAACCCGCTAGGAAGGAGTAACTATAGTTATTTTGGTTGAGGACATCACAGCAAAACAGATTTTTCAAGCTGTGCCTTGCTAGAAAAATAAAGAAAGGAAGCGAGGTCAAAAAAGTAAGCAATATATAAAAAAACCTTTAGATTAACCTGAAGGATATCGGAATATTAGAAAGAACTTGGAAAGACACAATGCAGATGAAGCAAGTAGAGCAATACCTCGTAATACAAATATGCCTGGCTCTATTTCCATTTTATGTTCCTAAAAGCTTTTATATAGCATAATTGACACTTTTTCCTCTCCTTCTTTGAGTCTTATTTAGCGTAGAAGGCACTCGATCCAAAGATGTCCGTTTCTCCTGTTTGCAGCTACTTCATTTCAACGAGGATGTTTTCACTATCATCCCCAATCCTCTGGATATATTCCTGGGAGAAGACTTTTATTCTTTTACCTATAGGTCTGATTCCTCTTATTTACTCGATTATTATTTTTAATCGATAAACATATGCGTATCGTCTGATTTTTCACGACTGTGGTCAATAGAGGCACGTCCAATTGCTCCAGGATTCCTTCATTTCTGAAGGAGTTTCGGCTTGTTTTCCACACTGATCTACGTGAGAGATTTTTCATCTCAGCAGGTCAAAAAGCCTGACAAACATCATCGTCGAGCAATCCCCGAATGTAAGATTATTTATTTTCTTACTTCTAGTTGTCCAATCATGCTATTATTAATTTGGAAAACAACAATAATATTAAAAAGGAATGACATGCTTTTTCAACATCGAATAATTTCTTTCTAATTTCTAAGATTTGTAGGAAAGAGCAGTACTGTTTGGAAACACTTTTAACATTTTGATATTTCATGCAAACTAAATTTGAAGTGTGAAAATAATCTTGGTTTCTTTCTTTGAATACCGAGGCTGTGTGAGGGGCTGAGATATAATGGAAAGCATACCAGCAAGTAAAACAATCAAAATGTATCTTTTTAGCACATCTGGAAAACTCCTAAACTTCTTCAGCTAGAAGTATTGAAAAAACTTCAATAAAAGATCGAATACAATTTCTGACAAAATTTTACACCGGAAAACATAAGAGAACTACAAACTATGAAGTAAAAATAAAACTAATTTAACATCGGGAATTGTTTCTTGCTAAAATGAAATTATGGCCAAGTTTCAGAAAATAAAAAGTCGATGGGTTTCGCACGAGTAATCAGAATGAAATAGTTGCTAGACTTATAAGCTACGTAAAAGATAAAAAAAAACAAAGAAAAAATTAAATCTGGCCTTTTAATACCAGAGTCAAAAGTCCCCCTCTCTCCGCAACGGGATTCGAACTCATAATTTTCGATTTATTTATTTTAGGTTGCAGAGAACGCGTGTTTTACACCCTCTAACCCGCACGAACACCCCGCTTCTTAATAATACAAATACGCAGAATAGAACTTCACGTGGACCTCTGGAGTCCGATGGTGAGATTAAAAAGCAATAAAAGTTCTTAAAATCTACGCTAAGATCAATGATGAGTACGTGAGATCCATCAATTGATTAGCACTGAGTTTAGGTACTTGCCCCAGTTGGCTAACATACTCCATATACCCACCGACTCCGTTATCTCCTAGTATATAATTTAAAGACAAAACTACACTTTTTAATATTAAGCAACAATTTGTCCAAATGTTAGATAACTACGCTTTTAATATGATGAATCGCATTAAAATTAAGTAGTTCTTCAATTAACAAGAATAATAATAATGTTAGGTTATAATTGGGAAAATTCCAAACACAGCCTCATGTCTCCAAAATACTGGTAAAGAATAAAAAACAAGACAGAAGTTTAAACAAATCGAAGATCACATTACTCCATGGCACCCAATAACATACTGAAAGGAAGGTAGGATAACACAGCTGATGAAGGTTATAACTGAACAGCTGATCAGGAAAATTCAATTTTCCTTTTTTTCAGGTCAGCTGTTTTATTATAACCTTTCTGTGTGGATGGATTGTTTTCCAATTGTAACCCAATATTGAATTCCTGTCTTATGGAGAGCTTTTTACTGATTTATATTAAAATTAAAAATAATACTCCAGCAATGGCCGAACGTCTGGACTGGTCTGTGGGGGAGGTTGTCAGGGCCTTGAATGAGAGAGGTCTCCTCAACAACACCATAATCGCCTTCATCTCGGACAACGGCGCACCCACCTACTCCTCTTCTTTCAGCAACCATGGTTCCAATTGGCCTTTGAGAGGTGTAAGGTTTTTTTTTTCCTTTTATTTATCATTTAATTTGAAATATACATTCATTATTCCCTAGGAGCAAATCTAAATTTATATTATAATAATATTTAATATATAATATGATGAAAATAGGAAAAAGGATCAGTGCATGATGGAGGTGTGAGAACTGTAGCTGCAGTTTGGAGTCCACTCCTCAAGAACTTGTCGCGTGTCTCTGACCAGTACTTTCACATCTCTGACTGGCTGCCCACTCTTTACACTGCTGCAGGTGGGTATAACACATTTTCAGTTATATTTGTTCATAACAAAGTGGAGCTTCGATAATCCGCAAGTCCTCTTACTCCGAAATTGAAATTAGGGTATATTATTCCAAGTCAGAGAGAATAATAAAACCGTAGTGGTACCAAGTTATATAAGCATACTTCTGAAAATAACAAGTTAGACAAGGCACTATAGTAACTATTATATAACATTGATTAAAAGAAATCTGATTTTTTTTGCGCACAGAATTTCTATTTCTGAAAAGCAAAGCAGAAAAACGGTTTCAACAATACTTCTTCTAGGTGGTGATGTAAATGAACTCGAGAGCAAGGATGGAATCAACCAATGGGATTCGCTCGTGACGTCTACGCACGGCGCAAGGGATACTATAATCGTCAACATCGATGAAGAAACAAGAACCGAAGCGGTGATTAAAAGTAACTGGAAATTAGTAAAAAGTAAGTTATTATGTTTAAATATACGCAAATATTTAAGAATTAAATTTAAAATTTGCATACGTTTTAAAAAAGTAACGTATATAATTTTTAAATTTTTAAACGAATATAGGTACATAATCTACCATGCAAAAAAGCTCAAAGATAAATATATTTTTTATTGTTGTTGTTAATTTATTTATTTGATTAAATATACAACTATATTAAAATACCTTAGTAAATTCGACTAATTTACCGAAATTAGTTGGTAGACCTCTAATATTACTTACCATCCAGACATCGTAAATGTAATAAATATTAAAACTAGCGTTATTTTCAATTAACAAGCCAAGGAACTAATCCGTTGTGTTGAAGTTGTTTTATTCTCTAAATATTGCTAGATAATATTCTATTATTAGCTAAGCGAAAGCGACTTAATTTTGCCAAAGAACACGGAAATTTGATAGAAGAAGACTGGAACAAATTTTTATGGAGAGATAAGTGTAAATTTGAAATGTTAGGTTCCGGAGGAAGGCTTTATGTTAGATAAGATCTGGAGTGGAATTTTCGAATGCAAATTTGCAACCAACAGTAAAAACACGGAGATAGCTTGTTAATGATTTTGGGGTGTATTTCTAGATCTGGAGTTGGAGACCTCCAGTGAAAAGATGGAAAACTGGATGCAAAACCAATCATAGCATACTATGCAATACCACCTGGGCTTAACTTGATAGGGAAGATCTATGTTAGGGCTTCCAAGACTATAAAGATTAATATTAGAATATGTTATCATTTTCTGAAATAAATGTAACATTAAATAGAAAACAAAAAGAAATTTCAAAATATGGAATGTTTCATTAAATTGGCGAAAAAAGGCGAAGAATTCCAACATAAGAACTATTTTTACAGATACATTCAGCTTTCTATACAACAGCACTTGATGTAAAGATCAAAGATTGACGTGGAAACAAAGTAGTGGAACTTAAATAATAAAGTACCATTATTAAAAGGATAAAAAAATGTCAACACAATGGACTGGTCCCTTGGCTTGTTTTAATTAAAATATATACTACGTCTACAATGCAAGCAAGATTAAATAAAAAAAGTTTTAAATTGAAACATTTGTATACAAATTTTATTTGTTGAAATACTTTTTCACGTCACTGTATATATTTTATTTGTAATTTTTCTTCCTTAACAGATCAAAATCCCAAATCAGTTGGTATCAACGATGACCTGTACTACGGAGAAAGCGGTCGATGGATGACCTACGATTTGGAGAGGGTGAACACGAGCGCCGTCGCACGAATCCTTGGTCCGATCTCAGACAAATACAAGACGCTAAGACAGTCAGCTTCCATAAACGTGCCTTGTTCCGATGAAACATCAGCCATGGGAGAGGACTGCCACACTCGCTACTGCCTCTACGACATCTTGAACGACCCTACGGAATGCTACAACCTGGCAGCCAACAACAGCGCCATCGTAGCTGACCTCAAGGCGATCTTAGAGAGCTACAGGCCGAGCTTGGTATCGGTCCCGCCCAAGTACTACGACAGCAGGGCCAGTCCCAAGAACTGGAACGACTACTGGTCCCCTTGGATAAAATGATATACTCCGATAATACAAGACAATTATAATTTGTACATACAATATTTAATAAAATTGTTATATTTTCGTTTATTTAAGCAAATTGTAAAAAATCTTAACTCCTGCATGAAGTCGTAACAACAAAAATATAATAAAAACTGCACATCGAAGTTTAAAAATATTTATAATCATAAATCGATGTTATCAATACATCCATCGTATTAAAAATATCGTTTATGGTGAAATAGTTGACTGTCGATAATATGGTTGAGAAGTTGCAGTCACAGTGAAAAAAAAAAAAAAAAAAAAAAAAATATATATATATATATATATAACAGAATCAATGAATTGTGTTTGAAGCGGTTAAGCTTTACTTCTTGAGAAAGCAATGGATTAGGTGCAAAAGAGAGAACAGCTGATGTAACAAAGATTGCCTGAAACAGAAATTTCAAATAAATCCGCTGAAAGAAACAAACTAGAACAAATTTATACTAAGATTGGTGAAGTATTTTGATGTTTATCTTGATGAAAATTGTTATACCGCTTGATATTCAATTTTAGCTATATTGAGTTTTTTTTTAACATTATGTCTGTACCTTGTAAACAACAGCGCCACAGGCGGATCTAGGGGGGGGGGGAGAAGGAGAGGGCCTTCGGGCTGAAGTCCCCCCCCAAAATGGTAAAATGTAACCATGTTTACAGAAAAAAATATTAAAAACTTTTTCTTAAAGCATTCATGTTCGTGTAATTATATTTAATAGGACTTCAAGAACCACTTAAACACCATTTCATATAGGTAATTAATTTCTTTATTTTTTAAAATTAATTATCGTTATATACATATGAAAAAAAAATCTTTCGAGCCGAAGCCCCCCCCCCCAAAATTAAATCCTGAATCGGCTAGTGAAGAGGACTAACACAATGAAATTTGAATGAACTCCTCTAAATCAAAATCAGAGTAGGGCATATTGGTATTGGTATTTGTGGAGGATCACGTATGGCAGCAACTGGGTCTGTTGGTCCTTTTTGCTTTTCCAAAAAACTAATAAATAAATCTATAATACCTCTTTAACGAACCTTCCTAAAAAAAGCTAAAAAAAAAGCGGAAAAAAAATAAAAAAAATCGGTCATTCAACATAGAAAGTTTTATAATCATGAATTCTATTAGAATCCAATAAGCTGTATCTGAGAGAAGCAAATCGACCACAGTTTGCTGTAAACGGTAGAGCAGTTTTTGGGGCTTCACCGAAATGTTGGCATGTTTTATCAACTACTCCACAAGTCTTCAAATGAAGTGAAGAGTTAAGATAAGCATAGATTAATATTTAAAATCTATAAAACGAATGTCCTCTAATTATTAGTTGTTGCGACAAATTAATAACTAAAGAGTTCTTAATTCTTAAAGGTATATCCTACAGCATAGGTGAAGAACCGGTGCCTTGGAGACCACATTCGGTCTCCGAACACTTTCGGGCGATATTTATTAATGTAGTACTAGAATTAATTAATATTTATTTATTTAAGTGACTTATTTACTCTATTTAATTAATGGAATAAAGTAGAATGTATGTATGTGAGTGTGTGATTTTAGTGATAGCAACGGTAAAATATAAAGAATTATTTCCGCCATTATTAGCACGATTTAACCTTACTGCGGCCTCTAATGATATTTAAATAGGTTTCTCAACTAAGCCCTGCACTGATTTATTTCCTAAAGTTTACTAAAATGTTCAAAAATGAATATTGAGGGATATTTCCATTTGATGCTAATATTGTTCGTTTTAATTAAAATCTCATTATTTTTTTTGTTCATTACGGATTCTCTTATTTGTTAGCAAACTTAAAAAGTATAAAAGTATATTAAATAAATTATTAACTAAAAGAAAGTAAACATGAAGAATACTTGTTTCGTAAACCAATAATTGTTTTCAACTTTTCTCCATTTTAATACAGCATGTCCTGTTTAACGAAGTTTTAAGACACCATATTGAACCAACATGGATCTCTCCAAATGGGCAAACAGCATCACAGATAGACCATGTACTCATTAGTGCCCGTCACAAGTCCAACATGATAAATGCAAGATCTTATAGAGGTGCAAATATGGACACGGATCACTATTTGAGCATTGCTGAGGTCAGATCACGAATTTCGCTGATTAAAAACCACTACCAACGACCAAAGAAGAAGATTGATGTGGTTAAACTTAAGGACTCAGACCACCAATATTCGTATCAACAAGCTGTGGAGACGAAACTTTATGAAGAAGTAATTAATGACAGCTCTATGGTCGATGAACAGTGGAAGAGATGCAGAACGCAATGAAACAGGCAGCAGAAGAAGCTCTTGGCTACGAGACTAAATCTAGAAGGCCCCCATGGTTTGATGCTGAGTGCCTTCAAGCAGTAAAAGCGAAAAATGAAGCCTACAGAAAGAAGGTTCAGCGTCCCACAAGGCTCTCCCAAGAAAAATATCGAAGAAAAAGACGCGAAGAGAAGAGATTATTCCGCGGAAAGAGAAGAGCTTGGGAAAATAAGAACATGGAGGACACAGAGGCATTGCGCGGCCAAAATGAAAGTCGCCTGTTCTTTCAGAGAATAAACGAGGGTAGGGCAGCTTTCAGACCCAGAGTGACGGCATGCAAAGACACGAATGGAACTCTTTTAAGCCACAAAGATGACGTACTAAGGAGATGGGTACAACATTTTAAAGGCGCATTAAACAGAGGAACGGTGCCTGGAGAAGTAGGTGTAATGAAGGAAGACTCCCTGAATTCTATTGAACCCCCGGATGAAGAGGAAATGGAAAACGCCCTGAGGAAATTGAAAAATGGAAAGGCGCCAGGCCCGGACGGAATCCAGTCAGAGCTGTTGAAATGTGGAGGTGAAGAACTCAAGAAAGCTCTGCATGATTTAATGCTGACCATCTGGGAGAGGGAAGCTATGCCTACGGAATGGGCAACAGCCATTATCTGCCCAATACATAAGAAAGGAGATCAAACAGAATGCGCTAACTATCGAGGAATCTCACTCCTTTCGTGTGCTTATAAGCTGCTCTCTAACATTCTTTTTGAGAGGATCCTCCCGTATTCTGAAAAGGAACTGGGGAAATATCAGGCTGGATTTAGAAGAGGACGCTCAACCACTGATCAACTGTTCTCTCTGAGGATGATCCTGGAAAAGACTATGGAGCGTAAGGTAGTCACCCGGACGATGACAAAAAAGGATGAGATGAAGCTGAGTGTGTTTGAGCGAGGAGTCCTCAGAAGGATTTATGGTGCAGTAAAGGAGGGTGATATCTGGAGGAAAAGAAAAAATAGGGAGCTCAGTTCTCTCTATGCAGACATCGACGTAGTCACGTATATTAAACTGGCCAGACTAAGGTGGGCAGGGCATGTGGCCAGAATGAGCACCGTTGAAATACCAAAAAAAATAATGATGGAGGAGCTGCACCTCGTAAGACGGGTAGGAAGGCCGAGGACGAGATGGTTGGACAACGTGGCCTATGATGCGAGAACCCTGCTTGGTGTACGGAACTGGAGAGCTGCAGCAGAAGACAGAGCCAACTGGCGGAGGCTCTTGGAGGAGGCCCAGTCTCGGTAACGGGATGTTGTGCCACAAAAAAAAAAAAAAAAAAAAAAAATAATTGTTTTCAACTTTTCTCCATTTTAATACAGCATGTCCTGTTTAACGAAGTTTTAAGACACCATATTGAACCAGATGTTCGCAATATTATTGTGAAAATGGACGGTTTCCCGAGCTTTAACAAATGTCAGAAAAAACGGAAGTAACAATAGGAGACTTGATAGTGGATCTTAACAAATCACGGCACAAAGGAGTGACAGAAATATTGCAAGAAATAACCTTCTCCATAGTACTTTTATAGTGCCATACCAACACTAACTCCATAATAAAGGAAGGATTATAATGCAACGGCCAACTATTAAATATTCAATATAACTCCGTAATAGTTAATAGAAAAGTGGTTTAACATCTTAGGCCTCTTCAAGACGACCTGCATCAACAGTGCGTCGCCAGGAGCTCAGCAGATTACGGTGAAGCGAGCTCCTAGATGAGTATACAAATTGGAATGCTGTTATGTTTACAGACAACTTGACAACAGTTTCGAGAATATCATCCTCATAGTTTTTAGCGGCTGTTTTAACTCCTTTCTCACGAAAATGGAGTTTTGTGGAGCCATCAAAGCAAACTCACCACCAAACCATCACTGAGGAAAGGTGATGACCTCTTTCCACTCTTCCGATGACTTCCTGCCTTCTTTAGAGCTGTGTGGCTTCTTTAGGGCTTCTTATGAACTGTGACTCATTTTGGCGATTAAATTTTTCTTCAATTGTAAAAATTGTCTCATGGCTAAACAAAATCTTTCTGTGAAGACTATGGGTGTAACGGTTAAGGAGCACTTAGTAGCCATCCACTCTAATTTTTTTTAGGGAATTGGTTAGCCTTTATCCTGTCATTCTTCGAAATGCACTCGTTCTAAGATAACTTTTTATTATGTGGGACATTGATCTGACAGAGATCTCTTAGTTACATTAATTTTCAATGTATTTTCAGTTAAAAATAAAACAAAAATTGTAGGGAAAATAAATCGTAAATAATCAACAATAGCCCTATTCAATTTTGAGAAGTATATATCAAAGTTTTGGACACTGCTCCTTTTTCTTCAAAGATGCATAATTATTGTTCGGCAATTTAATTTATAAATAAATATATTCAGAACTTTTTTAATAAAGATTTTTCGTAACCACATCAACCACAGTTTAAAAGTAAAAAAACGTCTGCCAAGTAAGGTCAATAGAGCTTCCTCACAGTTTTCATTAGATAAGCAATATGTAACGCTTATCTAAATTATATTTCAAGGTTTATAATTTTTTGTACGAGAATTAAATATCCGGAAGAAACCGTTTTCGAATATACAATGATCTCTCAAACATTATCCGCAATGAGGAAGAGTTCCATAATGAGGAAGAGTTCCACATTTTTAAATTGTGAATTTGAAGATTCGTGATTAAATAAAAAGATCCCAGTACATACTGAACATGCATATCGCTACTGTTAAAGAAAAAGGTCGTATGTAAATATTGATTGCGGGAGAATATAACAACTAATAATTCCTTTGATTAATAAGTATAATTTCATATTTTATTTTCCTGTATTATATTATAATATAGACTACCTATATTAGTTGCATGCTACAAAATGACATCTTTAGCAAAAAATAATATAAATCGTAAAATTTTATATACAACGTTTTGCACTAGAGTTATATATTTTTATATTTATACATTTGGTAGTCTGCAGCTGATATAAGTAGTCTGCTACAATGGAAAATATTAGAGGGAATAATACTAATGAAATTATACTAATAAATCATGGAGAAATTATTAGTTTTTATACTCTCCTGCAAAACACTCAATTTTTACATACGGCCTTTTTTTACTATGAATGTTCAGTATGCCCAGGAATTTTTTTTTTTAATCATGAATTATCAAATATGCAATTTGCAAATGCGGAACTCTTTCGCATTTTAGTATTCGCTGCTGAACAAAATTCGTGGATATCAAAAACATATATGTTGAGAGATTAATGAATTCCCGAAAACGGCTTCTCCCACAGATTTTATTCCCATACGAAAAAATTTAGCTCTTGAAATACATATATTTTTTAGTTAACGAAAACGGTGAGGAAGCTATACCGATCTTATTTGGTAGAGGTTTTTTTTTTTTATGTGGGGATTTCTACATGACGTAGTCTTAGGTGCTTGGTGTTTTCGCAATAGTCCATGCCATCCTTGATGTAGATTTGCATAAATCGCTTCTCTTGCATTGGTATAATTATTCATTAATATTGCTTATTAAAAACTTCCTCATGAATAATTACTGGTAAATCGACAAAATTTATTCAAGATAAAGAAAATTCAAAGACGCTTTTTACTGGAGTGACTTTATCTTCCTTATGTTGAAAGAAAGTAAGATTTAGAAAAACGAAATAAAAGAAATATTTACACATACAAATAATTTTTTTAGTTATTCACAAATTGTAAATAAAATTATGCATTAATCATAACTTTTTTCCTTCTTTTCGGGGAAGTATGATTTATAGGCCTTCAAAGAGAAGTCACTTTAGTTGTCATAAAGTTAACACTGTCATCACCACATATGCTGATGACACATGTATCCTATCAGTCAATAACGACCCATCTATTGCATCCCAAACCCTTCAATCTCACATCACAAACCTTGAAGAATGGTGTCAGAACTGGAGAATTAAAATAAATTCCAATAAATCCCATCAAATTACCTTCACCCTTCGTCGTAAACCAATGACTTTCTGTCCTTCAGTATCCTTTAACAACACCTCACTTATTCCTGTTGAACAAATCCGTTACCTAGGACTCCATCTGGACAAACGTCTAACTTGGAATCCTCATACCAGACTGAAACGACAAGAAACCGCTCGACGTTTCCGACTACTTCAACACTTACTAGACAAACGCTATAACCTTCCAATCAATTATAAAAGACTGATTTACATGACTATAATAAGGCCTATTTGGACTTACGGGGTTGAGCTATGCAATCCAAAATCCTTCGTAAAATCCTCAATGCTCCTTACTTTATTACAAATAAAATTATCCATAATGACCTTAATGTTCCTTATGTATCAGATTTGGCCCAATCCAGATATCTGTCCTTCCATAATAAACTTCATAATCATCCCAACCCTCTTTTCTCTAACCTTGCTTCCTATTCGATTCCTGATAACCCTCCGAGGCGTCTGAAAAGAAGATGGCCACGTGATCTTCTAATATAGACATATTATTAGAGTGCTACCAATGGGTAGTTTCTCAACATGTGTTGGAACACAATTTGCTATGGATGTCTTTATACCAATGTGCAAATTTACTAGATGTATTTTTTGTATACAGTTGTAAATATCATTTAAAATAAATAAAAACAAAAAAGTTGTCATAAAGTTAATACTCTCAAAAACTTTATGGCCGATATTTTGAAACAAAACGGCAGATGTTAATGTCGCGTTTGGAGGATCATCATCAAATGACTTCTATCTTGCTAAGAAAGCCCAAAGCGGCCCAAAAAAGGATGGACACAATTTATATTATTGAATTTTCGCATTCTGCTTAACGTGAAATTAAAACCTCAAATGCAGATAGAGGTTAATTTCTTGGTCGTTTACAATGGTCCATTATTGAAAACAATAAACTGATTTTTTTCTGTTGTAATTATTACAGACCATGTACATCTTTTACCACCTTTGCAAGCCTACTCCATTTCTGCCTATCTTTGGCTATTTGTTTCTAATTATCTATTGAAATCAACCAATAGGGGGTGGATGTACAGAGCTATTTCTCATAATTTTTCTAGTACTTGTTTTAGGATAAATCAAAAGATAATGATGAAAATTATTAAAATGTTGAAATGTTATATTTAATCAATGAAAATAAATAAAATAAATCTTCTTGAAAGTAAACAAATAGTTGAAAAACACTTATTCAACGCATATAAATATATGTAAATAAGTAAATAAATAAAAAACAAGTGAATATAATGAGTATCTAAGTTAGGGTAAGTTTACACCCTCGCAAAAGTTTTTATTAAATATAACAAATAATGTTCTTGTTATTTTGATGCCTACGTTTTATACCGATCATCAGCGAAATTTGATTAAATTTGCTATTATCAATTTTTCTAATACAAATATTAATAACATTTTCTGTATGTTATTAGAAACGTTATTAACACTGCCAGATCAAATCTTTAAAAAATATTAGTAACATTTTTATAACTGGCGTTATAAGCGACCGAAACAATGTTAATCACATCTAATCAATCGCTAGCTGTAAAAAAATCTAATATCTAGATTATCGTATACAATAAATAAATCATCTATAATCCGATAAAACAATATATATATATATAAAAAAATGTTTATATCTGATACGAGACATATTCGAATAATACCGGCAACAAGAATAATTGCTTGTAACCGGCAATGCAATATGTACTAACGGATCCCATGTTTATTCAGATTTAATAGGGATTATAAGAAGTTAACGTAAAAAATTTCTACAGAAGTAGCAAGGATACAGGCGTGCCATTTCTCAATCGGCCAGTCAAGATGAAGGTTGACACTGCATTTAGCATTCTGCTTATTGTGCTTTTGGACTTCGGAGTTTGTGAAAGACCGAATATAGTGATCATAATTGCAGACGACTTGGTAAGGACTAATACAAAAATTAAATAGTAAGTATAGAATTTAGAATTATTTCAGGAATCAAGTGTATAAAGTGAAGTGCAGAAAAAAATATACATACATAACTGAAAATAACATAAGATAACAGTGCGGTACCTTGGCTTTCTCTTAGACAGACGACTGACGCGGAACCCTCATACTAGACTTAAAAGGCAGGAACTTAACCGACGATACGGCCAACTATACACACTAGTAAACAGAAAATCTAAACTTTCTATTGAAAACAAGTTACTGATCTACAAGACAATACTGAAACCTATTTGGACTTGCGGATTAGAACTGTGGGGAACAGCAAAATTTTCTAACATCAAGCGCATCCAATCCTTGCAGTCAAAAGTCCTTCCAACAATAGCCAATGCTCCTTTCTATGTAATCAACAAAACCCTACATCATAACCTCAACAACCCATTTGTCCTTGTCCTTATCTCAGAAAAATTCTTCAAATTTCACCAGAACCTTACATATCATCCAAATCCTCTTGCACAATCCCTATCAAGCACCACCCATTCCTATAATCTCCAAGAAGGTTGAAACGGCACTGGCCTAGCGACCTTTTGTAGATTGTATATATTGGAGTTCTGGCAATGGTCAGATTTTCCACTCAAGACATAAATGTATGTGGCTAAAGTGCTCTCGATCAATCTCCGCTGGCTTTAGTACCAGTGCGGCGGTTGAGAGTAGCGCAGGGTTCTCCATGAGTTCCCTCGCCTTATTGTATATAGGTATGCATGTGTTTTTTGCTCAGTTTTAATTTTCTTATTTTTAAGTTATTTTATTTTATTTATTGTATATACTTTTTGATTATTATTTATTGTTATTTTGCTTCTATTTATTTTATATTTTTTGTACATATGTTATCCTTCCTCACTATAACTACTGTCCATGTGACAGATTGTTGTAATACTCAATAAATAAATAGATAAATAAATATTCAAAATGATATTAGTAGATTGTATAATTAAGCCATAAACTAATCCAAATATAAGTTCACAGCTTCTAAATATTTTGCAAACAAAATTGTTAGTGTAACACAATATCCACACAACAATAAATAGTAACTTCGAAGCTCTATTTATCAGTTGGAACCTGTTCAAACCTAGGCTACGAATTAATGAAAACATATTAAAATACATATTGAAGACATCGTGGCACTTAAAATTTATTTAGTTAAGCAATAATAAAATCAATTAAGTTATACCTAATTAATTAGGCAAAAATTGCAGTGGACTAAAAATTGTCCGTAAAATAAAAGTTTAAATAGTGTACGATAGGTTTCAATTATAGGTATTCACATTTTCAGGATTACATATGAAAAAAATGTAAAAAACGGGAATCTAATTTACCACATTGTCTATTAAAGTGTATAAACATGGATTAATGTCTATACTAAGATAAATTATGATTTAATAGTACCGTTCTTAAGATCTACATAAACAAAATCAATAGAGGTAGTTAAGCAGATAAATATTGTGATAAAGATATGAAGATATCTTCTAACATTCACAGCTATTTACAATGATAGGGCTTGGAATATAATATATGAAATATTTCAAAATAAATTATTTACAAAATCGTCTACTAAATTTGGAAATATTAAATAAATATTATTGTAGTGAATCGAACAACTTAATTTTATATTTCTACATGAAATCAATTTTTAATAATGTTCGATTTTTTTTTTTGGATTTTTTTTTTTCAAAATATCTCTAAAGCTTTTTGAGCTACTAAGGAATATTAAAATTAATTTACGTTATCTTTCGTCGTAAACCAATGACTTCCTTCAGCATCCTTTAACAATACGTCGCTTATTCCTGTTGAACAAATCCGTTACCTAGGACTCACCTGGACAAACGTCTAACTTGGAATCCTCATACCAGACTGAAACGAAAAGAAAACGCTCGACGTTTCCAACTACTTCAACACTTACTAGACAAACGCTCTAACTTTCCAATTAATTACAAAAGAGTCATATGCATGACGTTATTTGGACTTACGGAGTTGAGCTATGAGGCTCTATTAAACCATCAAATTCCTCTCGTATCCAATCCTTACAATCCAAAATCCTTCGTAAAATCCTCAAAGCTCCCTACTTTGTTACAAATAAAACCATCCACAATGACCTTGATGTTCCTTATGTTTCAGATTTGGTCCAATCCAGATATATATCATTCCATAACAAACTTCATAAGCATCCCAACTCTCTTGTTTCTAACCTTGCTTCCTATTCAATTCCTGATAAACCTCCGAGGCGCCTGAAAAGACGATGGCCCCATGATCTTCTAATGTAGACATATTATTAGAGTGTTATCAGTGGGTAGTTTCTCATCGTATGTTTCATGTCATTATATCTATGTACGAATTTACTAGATCTTTTTTTTTTATACAGTTGTAAATATCATAATAAATAAAATAAAAAACATTACGTTATCTTAATACAATTAAATTGCTTACATTATCTACAAATCTTTTTCTCCAAAATCTTTATTATATCATTGACCTTAATCTATTATCCCGACATTTATATGACAAATTACAAAATACTCAACTCGTCATCAAGAAAAATAAAACATTATTGATTCAAAATTTCTCTTATTTTTCCTAAGACTAAATTGGGATATTTTAAATTAATTTTGATTGGGCATTTTTATTTTATTAAATAAATTGATTTTATAGCAGAAATTTTAAAAATGTTTTGTTGGCGAATCATCGTTTGAATTTTTTTATGTTTTTTTCTATCCAGTGTAGATATTTGCCTTCCAATACGCTGTGATTATAATTGCTCTGTGCCTGGCAACGTTTTAAGATTTGAAAAATGTCCCATGAAGCTCCTTAAAATGTTCATTTCATATTAGTTTTTTATCCTCTAATTATTGAATAGAATGCTCTAAGGTACTCTAAGGTAAAATGCAACAGCTTTTGCATTTGAAATAATTAAAATTAATGAGTTTTCAAAGGCGAAAAATACAGAGTATAATATATGTAAATTATAGCTTATGCTGAAACTGTAATTAGCTGAATGTTGAGGTGCACAGAGATTTCATGTAACTTACAGCTTTTTGATATAACATCTTGAAATCTAATATTTTTCTGTATTTAAGAGGATATTGGTTAATCCTGCATCAGAGTAGTGAAGCTTTTGCAGTGAAATCCATATTTGGAAGAACTAAATAACCTCACTGAATCAGCTCAATATTTGTTTAAAAATTGTGATTGGACTTTTGTTAGCTTACCTTAGGCTGGGTTCGGTTCATAAGCACTAAAATAATACAAATACGTGCGTACGAATTTTATAGAAAAGGGGTAAGACGAAGAATAAACTAAGGTGTGTGTGCTTAAGATTTTTTTTTGAAAAATCATAAAAAATGAGGTTAAAAACTTTTGATTATACCGCATATATATAGCGGTAATATTATACCTCATTAAAAACCGAGAAGATTCTTATAATTAATATATAAAAATGTATTATATATTATATTTATGTATAGTTATCCGTGAAAAATTCAGTTCTTCGATTAGCTTAAAAGTTTGTGCATACTCTTGCTTTATTTATAGTGACTACAAACTAAAACGGAAAACGTTGCGTAATTGACTTCAGTTTTTTACTTTCACTTACCTATATATGAAATATATAGTAAGGGAAAGTATTGCGATCGTGAAAATTTTCGAATCTGAGTTTTCAACGAAAATAAATGTTTAAAGGTCCCCTGAGTCGAAATAACCAACTCAAGCAAAATTGTCTGTGTGTCTGTTTCTGTGTTAATGGTCTAGCTCAAAAACGAAAAGTCGTACGAAACTGAAATTGCATATTTACGGATTTTATATGCTTGGAATGTTACAGGAACATTTTCGTCAAAATCGGATAACCCAAAGTGGCACTTTATATCATGGACTAAACATGTTTTTGCGATTTTCTCGAAAACGGCTCTAAAGGTTTTGATTAAATATCAGAGCAAAATTGTTTTAAATAAAATGTAGGTTTTGTTCTGATTGATGTATTCTAACAGGGCTTAAATGGCTAATATTATTATTTCAATATTAGCTTCTCCTAAAGTACCTTTAATTTTTTTTAGTTGGAACAATTGACCATTTCACATTAATCTCTAATATAAAATATACTTAAATATAAAATATGAAAGAATTAGATAATTAACTAAAGGAGAAATAAGAGATCGTTGTAATTGAGGAACAATAGTTGTAATTGAGGAAAAAAAGGAATACGAGCGCACCCGAGCTCGCACGAAAGATTAGAACACGCTTCCATATATAACATGAGCTTAATATAATAAGGACTGCGACGATTCTATGTAAATATACATATGCGATTTTCATAAATGCTATTGTTGGTATTATTTAATATTTAATTATATAGATTACAGCGATATAAATATTAAAATATGTATATATAAGGGTGCTTATACAAATAAAAATACCCACAATGAAATATAAATCAATATAGCATTTATAAATTTTACTTCCACGTCCCCTTTGTCTAAAAATACTTGTTTCTGTTAAGAAGAGGTGGTAAGTGAAAGTTATGTGGCGCGCGCACCGCACCAGATTTTTAACATCTGTCTTCCGGAGAGATGGGAAAATGCTATTTTGAGTACCGAGGATTTTACTCAAATTGAATCAATTTGGGGAATTCAATCACAACTTCATTCAATCGTTTGACATCAATTGAAGTAGTAATTAAATTCTTTGGCAGTCAAAAAACGTCAATATTTGGATAAAATACTTGGTACTCTATAAATACTAATTTGCTCGCCTCTGCTTCCTTGGACATTCCATTCTCTGATCCGTGGACATAAGTCCACGACCCCTATAGATCCCTCATTCCTATAAGTCATGGTGTGATTATATAAAGTCTAATCTACTACTTGACAAATGGTCTACCTGATGTAAAAAGAATTCTCATTGAAGATCTATATATATATACAATAAATCCTACATTTATATATATAATTTATTGTTTATATCGATTGCAAAAGCTTTTAGAACAGTAAACGAAGTTCTGAAGACTGTTCTATCCAGATATACACAGATTAAGGAAATATGGAGAACTGTAAATAGATATCATTATTATTTTACCAATGAGAAGAATATTTTAGGTTTTGAGTGAAACGTTATATTTTGATTTCTTTTATTTTTTGTAACCACCCACAGGGCTGGAACGACGTTGGGTTCCACGGCGGAGATATTGAAACTCCCAACCTCGATGCACTGGCTTACCACGGAATCATCCTCAACAGACACTACGCCATGCCTGTGTGTTCTCCATCAAGAACAGCTTTGATGAGCGGAGACTACCCACTGAGGCATGGTAAATTAATATTGTGCTTTTATGCACCACAATGTTGACAGGTGTTTAACAAATGGACTTAACTTATGGATTCTTAGGTAGATTGATATTCTCTGGAAGATAAAGCGCTAACACCAGACCGTGACTAAAACTTTCATTAGAAAACAAAGACCATTCATCATCCACTATTTCAACAGACCCAAATAGCTGTCCTTGGCTTCATTACCCGCGCCTAGCCATCTCGTTCTATCTTGAAGGAGTGTTTGGCCTATTCTGAACTGCCTGAAGTCGAGGATACGAGCAACGCAGTCCTTCTGCCGGCCCTTAATTAGGCTCTTAGTTTTTTTCTCCGCAGGGGGTTCCTTCATAGACCTTCTTTGCAACTTTTTTTCTAGCATCCTCATGATGCTCATAAATTCATGAAATTGGGTAAAACTGAAACCGGACCAAGCAAATATGAAAAAGTATCAATTCGTTTTTTTATAAGAACTAATTCAATCGACACACGCTTACGTCAGCATGGTGCATTTATATTTGGAATAAATATGTAATAACAATGACATGAAACACCAATCATCTCAAGATAAACTTTTGAGAAATCACAAGTGTTTGCGTGTAGTTTGTTGCCCATGATCTTTAAAGCTGTTTCCGAAAAATTTCAAAGTCAAAATCCTCCAAGCCTACGTCCATAGCACAAATGAGCCCGCGTGATGACACGATGACGCGGGCGAACGAAATTATGCCAGGCTATCCAAACCTGTAACAGCGATCAACACGCTAGCCGGTAACGATATTCAGCAGTTTTATTGTATAATGTTGTTCAACGAGGTTTTTAAAACAGAAATATCTTAAGAGTGATTAATCAGAAATATTATCGTGTTTCTTTGAAAATAGTCATTGTTGATATCATGGATTATTAAAAGTATTTACGAATAAATTTTCATCAATATTTTCTATTATTTTTCAAGTTCGAAAACTAAATTACAAACTTGGTAATTTTACATGTAATTTATTTGATCATTAGTTAGATGCCAATATGTTCATCTCTTATTTTATCGTTTCTGATTATATCATGCCATTTAAGCAAATTATTAAGTAGTGACCAATGAAATTCAGTACAAATATCACCTTGTTTTCAGCATTTATATTTCTTATAACAAAATTTATATTTTGTATATATTTTAAATATATTTTTAAATTATTATTTATTTCATATAGTAATATAAGCAATATGTTTTTATATCTGTGCCGCAGAGGTATAGGGCATCATGTCCATTTTTTTTTTAGTAACACAGAAATAACTTTTAATAATTCAAAGTCAGTTCTGCGCATGCGCTTGATTTGAATACCCACATTTCACGTCGTGTCCCACAGTTTTACTATTTTTTAGTAGAATAAGTGCTCAGTTTTACTTTTTTAAAAAAAATACTAGTTAGCAGACATCAAAACAACAACAATGGACTAACACCAGAGTGAGTAGTGTTGTTATTTACTGTGTACTATTACAGACAGTGAATTCAGTGATTTAGCGTCTATAGGCTTAATCTCTATAGCCATAACAGCTGACGGCTCCCCTCTCCAGTTGTGGCCCTGCCACGTAACTGGCTGGTTCTCAGCTGGTGGTTCATCCATTGTAATAACACGCAGACGTAGTTTTATTTATTTATTTTTTTTTCCCTTTCTTTTTTTTTTTTTTTTTATATGCGATATTACCACCAAGTAATGTCAACTAAGAGATCCCATTCAGTTGGCTCTACCCCACGTAATTCACCGCCTAAACAGAAAACACGTCGTAGTAAGCGATTAACACCCCCCGGAACTCCTCCAGCGAACACTCAAGTATCTGTGTCTCAACCACTGCCAAGTACGTCTTCACAAGAAATGGAATCTCCATTTTTTACACCTAATCCATACCAGGTGCTTGAAAATGACAGGGAAGAAATGGAAGATGCACCTATACCTCGAGAACCACGCCCACCTCCTATCTTTGTCAAAAATTTGAGAAATTTCCAGTTGTTGTGTACTCAACTTAATAAAATCTGCCCAGGTAGCTATACATGCCTAAACAGAATAAATGATACAAAAATAATACCGGCCACACCTGAAGCGTACCGAAAAATCGTAAAATATTTAACAGACACAAATGCGGACTTTCACACATACCAGTTGAAACAGGAAAGAGCACTACGAGTTGTAATAAGAAATTTACACTCCTCAACCCCAATAGAAGTGATTAAAGAAGAGTTAACGGCGTTAGGGTTCAAAATACGTCAGATAACCAATGTTTTAAAAGAAAATAAAGAACAACCAGGTGTAAAGAATAAAATCCCATTGCCCTTATTTTTCGTCGATCTAGAGCCATCGCCTGGGATCGAAAAAATATACGATGTGAATAGAATTTTCTACACCAGCGTAAAGGTCGAAAAACCGTACCCAAAAAGAGAGTTCATCCAGTGCCATAATTGCCAAGCATATGGCCACACCAAGTCTTATTGCCACCACTTACCACGCTGCGTGAAATGTGGTAAAACACACAAGTCTGGCGAGTGTAATAAACCAATTACAGAACCAGCAGTCTGTGCCCTATGCCTGGAAGGCCATCCAGCCAACTACAAAGGCTGCCAAATTTATAAAAATCTTAAAGCGAGATATATGAAACCCAGGGACCCTGATGATACACCTAAACCAAGAAGAGGACCCGCTAAAATTGTGAACTCTAAGGTTTCTTTTGCCAAGCTACTTGGGGGTAGAGACCCGACTAATGTATGTGAGGCCCTGCCGCAAGAACAAACTCAACCCCAATCTCAATATCCTATCCCACCTAATGTACCTAATCAACAACAACCTCACCAACATCAAATCCAATATGTTCCTCCACCGCCTAATGCTACAGATCTAACCAGCTTATTGACATCCTTTCTTTCAGAATTTAAATCCCTTGTTACCCCACTGATATCACTTCTCACTAACCTAGTATCTCACCTTATCCCTCCTTTAAAAAATCCTTAAATGACTTCCATCAAACCCATATCCATTCTCCTTTGGAATGCGAATGGTGTTAGAAATCACATACACGAACTAACAGCCTTACTACAAGACAAGAACGTAGACGTAGCCCTAATAACGGAAACTCGACTGACTAAAAAACAGCTCCTAAAAATACCACAATACATAACTTACCGTACCGACCATCCTGACGGTAGAGCACATGCCGGTACTGCAGTCATTGTGCACCAATCCCTCTCCCATCACCTACTCCCACTGCCTACACACGATTTCCTACAATCCACCGCAGTCGTAATCAAAACCTTCTCCTTTCCTATTACCGTTGCATCAGCGTATTGCCCTCCAAACCAATCCATCTCCAATATCCAATTTAGTTCCTTCCTCATTTCCTTAGGACATCATTTCATCTTGGGTGCAGACTTAAACGCCAAGCATCAACAATGGGGTTCAAGAACCACGAATTCTCGTGGTCGAACATTGCTGTCTGTACTCAATTCCCAAAATTTTACCCTTCTTCCACCCAACTCACCTACCTACTGGCCCACTGATCCTAACCGTAATCCCGATATCCTCGATTTCTTTATCCATAATGGTTTAGGTGCTCTCAACCATTCCGTTGCCCGTCTTGACGAGCTTTCCTCAGACCACAGCCCATTAATACTCCAAGTATCACTAGCTCCTATTCCTAAACCCTCTCCTCCGTCCTTCATCAGAGGCCCAGTTAACTGGAAACTCTTTCATCAAATCCTCTCCGATAAAATTGACCTCAGAGTAACCCTGAAAACCTCTGAAGACCTGGACAATGCAGTACATTCCTTCACTACCAAAATTCAAGAAGCAGTCTGGACTGCTTCCTCCCCTGATCACTCCTCAAAAATCCTTAAGAAACATAATTTACCTCAACACCTCCTTGACCTAATCCACATAAAACGCCGTGCCAGATTATTATGGCAACGTACCAGACATCCAGCCGACCGCCACTCCTACAATTATCACTGTAAAAAATTAAAAAAAGAATTAGCCACCTTCAGATCCCAATCATTCAATTCCTACCTCACCACACTCTCTGCTCATGATAATTCCCTTTGGAATATCACCAGAAAAATCCTCAAATCCCATCATATTTCCCACCCTCTTCGACGAGATGATGGTCCTGGGCAGCATCTGATGAAGATAAAGCCGAGGAATTTGCCAAACACCTTTCCTATACTTTCGCTCCTCATCCAGAATCCCATCCCAGCCACACAGTAAAAGTAGAAGAATCCCTCTCAATACCTATCCCACTCTCCTTACCACCTAAAGCTGTTAATCCCTCTGAGGTCAAATACCTTTTACGGAAAATCACACCTCGCAAATCTCCTGGATATGACCTTCTAACCCCACAGATCCTTCGACAACTTCCATCTAAAGCCATCATATTTCTTACATATATATACAATTGCATCCTACGAACTACCCACTTCCCTCTTTTATGGAAACATTCCACCATCGTCCTCTTCTTGAAACCAGGCAAACCTTCCAACAATACAGCATCCTATAGACCAATTAGCCTACTCCCAATCCTCTCAAAAATTTTTGAAAAGATCCTACTGAAACGAATCCTACCTATAATTGAATCCTATAACCTTCCTACTCATCAATTCGGATTTCGTTCCCAACATTCCACTGTCCAGCAAGGACTCCGAGTTGTTGACCATATATCCTCAACCCTAGAAAGCAAGCAGTATTGCTCGGGTGCATTTCTGGACATAGCGCAAGCTTTTGACCGGGTATGGCACGCCGGATTACTCTTCAAGCTTAAAATCCATCTACCACAGTCCTTATACCTAGTACTCCGATCCTATCTTTCCGACCGCTCCTTCCGAGTTCGCTGTGGCACCGAATTCTCCGACTGTTACTCAATTGAGGCTGGCGTTCCTCAAGGCAGCGTCTTGGGCCCCATCCTTTACATTCTCTTTACCGCTGATATTCCTGTCCATCCCGATACCCTCCTGGCAACTTTCGCTGATGACACTGCTATCCTTTCTTCCAACTCAGATCCTGAAACAGCGTCCGCAAACTTACAAAGGCACCTCTTCCTGATTGAACACTGGTGTAAGAAATGGCGCATTAAGGTAAACGAATCTAAATGTAAACACATTACCTTCACCCTTCGGCGTAATACCTGCCCACCAGTTTATTTTAACTCCATCCAGCTTCCTTTCTCAGATACAGTCCGGTATCTTGGCTTTCTCTTAGACAGACGACTAACATGGAATCCACATACTCGACTTAAAAGACAGGAACTTAACAGACGATATGGCCAGCTATATAGACTACTGAATAGAAAATCTAAACTTTCTGGTGAAAACAAATTACTGATCTACAAGACAATACTGAAACCCATCTGGACTTACGGACTAGAACTATGGGGAACAGCCAAATTTTCTAACATCAAACGCATTCAATCCTTTCAGTCTAAAGTCCTCCGTACAATAGTCAATGCCCCTTCTATGTAACCAATAAAACCCTACATCATGACCTTAATATCCCATTTATTCTTGATCTTATCCCAGCCAAATTTTCCAAATTTCACCAGAACCTTTCTCATCACCCAAATCCCGTTGTACAATCCCTATCAAGCACCACCCATCCCTACAATCCCCTTCGTAGATTAAAGCGGCAGTGGCCACGAGACCTTTTGTAAATATGGATATTTTGGAGTTCTATCAATGGCCAGATTCTCCACTCAAGTCATGAGTGTCTGTGGCTGTAGCGCTCTTACTCATCCTCCGCTGGTTTAAAATACCAGTGAAGTGGCTGAGGGAGAAGCGTAGGGATCTCCTAGGCCTCCCTTTTCCCTCCACATGTGGAGGGGACAGGATTGGTTCGGAGATCACCTGGCAAATTGTAAATAATGTATGTTTTATATAAGGTGTTGTTTTACTTTTATTTCTATTTTTATTTACTTATGTGTATATATATTTTTTTTTCTTTACTCTTTTGTTCTTTCTTCTTATTCTTTTGTTATTACTTTATTTATTTATATTTTTGTATATACGGTATGAATGCAATCTCTGAACTCTATTATAAGTGTCCTTAACTGTGACAAATTGTAATATTTCTGAATAAAGTGTTTTTTTTAATAATAAATAATTCAAAGTTATGGAAAATTGACTCCCAGAAAAAAGTACAAAAATGTGCCATGATGCGCTTTACCTCCGAGGTACAGATTGAGTAATTAAGAAACAACTTTTAATACCTCAAAGTTATGGAACATTGGCTCTCCTGAACAAATACAAAAGCGAATATGGTGTTTACCTTCAGGGTACACATATGTCTTTTTATACTTTAGGTATACTTTTTTATTTTATTATTATTGAAAATTTCAAACAATGAAAAATCTGAGAAAGTAATACAAACAAATTGGTGCCCGCCAGTTGACTAAAAACCTATAAATGTGCCCTCAAATAGAAAAAGATTTCTTTCATTCCTGCTGGAACTGGATAAAAAATTGTCACAAATTAAAACATTGGCTGTAACTTATCAATATAACCACCTCAATGACTATTTTAATATAGTAATTTAATTTTTATTAATAAAAAATATTAATTATATCGAAGAATTTTATCCTAGGTATGCAAGGAACTCCATGTATAGCTGGGATCCATGATGGGTTACCATTGAATGTCACAATCATGCCACAGGTAAACATCCTTTCTTTTTTTTTTTTTTATAACGTCACAGTTTTGGAAACTTTACTCTTTAAATATAATTTAGTTTATTTTTTTTAGTATTTCTCTAAACTTGGATATAAGTCACATCTTGTAGGAAAATGGCACCTTGGCTATGAATCCGCTGATTACCTTCCTACCAGGAGAGGCTTCGATTCCTTTTTCGGATACCTCAATGGATATTTGGGGTACTGGGACTATACCCACCATGCAACGGTAATAAAAAGTAATAATATTCTGATTAATCATAACAGTAAACAATAAAGAAGTATTCAATGCTGTTTTATTTATTATTTAATATTTCTTTAAAATTGAAATAAATTTGTATAATTATGGATTATCGCCTTCATTCAATATGCATAATCAATTAATCACGTTTTTCAAATTAGAAAATTTATAGTTTTGCTTTCATTCATTGATGAGTAAGTAATCAATACTAATTTTATTACGGCAGATGGGGGTACACCTTAATATGGAGAATGCTTAGTTGGTGGCATGCGCTGCAAAAAAGTTAACTTTTGATCCAACTAAAAACTTCTTTCTTAGTTAGAAAAGTTACAAAAAAACATAAAATCCATTTAGATAAGATCATCAAGCAAAAATTAATTATTTTCAATTCTTGTTTCTTGATTGTTTATTATTCAATAAATATTTTTAAAATAAAAATAATAACTTTTGAACAAAAAAAAAATATCAATTTAAAAACAGTGAGGGCGGGGGATTAATCCCATAGTTAAAAGACCCCTTGGTGGCACAGGGACGTAAACTCGTAATTATTTTATCAAATTATGTTCTATTCGGGTTACCGAGCAGCATGGTGCTGTGCACACGCTTTAGTCTGCTCGGCCATCCCGCCTCCCTTGACACAAAGTATTAACATTTGTATAAAAAAAAAAAAAAAAAAAAATTGGAGAGAGGATGGGAGACACCCTCACACAAAATATCCAACTTAAACCAAAAGGGCCTATTAACTTATCACATATCACATAAGGTCCCACAAGGTCCAGGTCCATATAAATTAATGTTGTCCTAACACAAATAATATCAATATAATTAATATTGTAAATTTCTCACTATACATACAAATATATATATATATATATATATATATATATATATATATATATATATATATATATATATATATATATACATATCCTTCCCTCTCTCAATCTACGTTTTGTATATAGTATACAATACTATTTAATTGTTTAAATTAAAATTGTGAGTATTCATTCAAAGCTGTTAAGTAACAGATATAAATAATTTATTTTCTTTACTTTTTTTATTTTTGTCGCAACAATAGTTTTCTCATAAAGTCAATTTAACGTTCTTTTCCTACTTATTTATTTTATTTTTCCATAGATCACATGGTTCCGTTAATATACCCTTAAGCTATTATTACTTATGTTTCAGTAATTCTTTTATTCATTAGATCTTTTGGCCAGATGTAATGTTAATTTGTAACAGAAAACCTAAACTTTCCATTGAAAACAAGCTGATCTACAAGACAATACTGAAACCTATTTGGACTAGAGCTGTGGGGAACAGCAAAATTTTCTAACATCAAGTCCATCCAATCCTTCCAGTCAAAAGTCCTTCGAACAATAGTCGATGCTCCTTTCTATGTAACCAACGAAGCCCTACATCATGACCTCAACATCCCATTTGTCCTAGACCTTATCCCAGAAAAATTCTTCAAATTTCACCAGAACCTTAGGTGCCATCCAAATCCTCTTGCACAATCCCTATCGAGCACCACCCATCCCTATTATCCTCCAAGGAGGTTGAAACGACAGTGGCCTCGCCACCTTTTGTAGATTATATATATTGGAGTTCTGGCAATGGCCAGATTCTCCATTCAAGACATGAGTGTATGTGGCTAAAGTGCTCTCGATCAATCTCCGCTGGCTTTAATACCAGTGATACGGTTGGGAGAGTAGCGCAGGGTTCTTCTGGAGTTCCCTCGCCTGATTGTAAATAGTGTATATAGGTATGCATGTGTTTTTTGCTTAGTTTTAATTTTCTTATTTTTAGGTTATTTTATTTTAATTATTGAATATACTTTTTGATTATTATTTATTATTATTTTTCTTTTATTTATTTTACATTTTTTGTACATATAGTGTGAATCCTACGTCACTATAACCAATGTCCAAAAGACAGATTGTTGAAATACTCAATAAAAAAAATTGTATGAACAATAATATTGTTTCTTCATATTCTTAAGTGACGTTGTCCCATAATAAAGTTAATATATTTATTTATATTTCTATAATTGATGTAAAGCATTCTTTAAAAAGCCAATATACTCTTACGTATAATTCTTTCCCTCATAAATAATGATGTAGAAACATAATATATATATATATATATATATATATATATATATATATATATATATATATTTATAATATATATATATACATATACATATATATTACATATATATATATATTATACTATATATATATATTATATATATAATATATAATATATATATATATATATATATATATTTTATATATATTTATAGTTAATTTCTTTTATTGAGATATATATACAATCAGTCACATTTAAGCACAATGATAATAATGATAAAGAGTAGCTCATTCTTACTATGCACAATAAATAAAAATAATAAACAGCGACATAATAATACTAAAAGTAAATTTATATAAACTAAAAGAAACTACAATAAACTAATCTAACAAAATAAATAATTAAATACATACTTTAAATATTATAAAAATAATAATGTTTAAAAATAAGGACCACCGACATTTCCTCAGGGGATCGGAGTCGGACGGGACATCAGACGGAACGAGGAGGGGGTGTGGACGGAGTGCTACGGGAACTACCTGACGGACCTGCTGACCAAGGAGGCGGTGAGGGTGATATCGGAGCACCCTGAAGAAGATGGCCTCCTTCTGGTCCTCAGCCACGCGGCCGTCCACACCACTCACCTGGGTCCGGAGCGAGAGGCCGCCCCCGATGTGCGCAACCTAACGAACCGCGGCTTCCTCAGGGGTAAGTTGTACTAACAATTTAAACACACACACACATATATATATATATACACGATCTGTTGGATTTGAGCTTTAGGGTGAATGTGCTGTTCCAGCAACCGCTGAACGAATGGACTTGTCCGTCGGGGAGATGACCAGGGCACTCCACGAGAAAAGACTCCTCAACAACTCCATCATCGTATTCATATCGGACAACGGAGCCCCGACATTCACTAACGTTTATACCAACTATGGCTCTAATTGGCCGCTCCGGGGAGTAAGAATTTTTTTTTTAACGCTATTTTAACATAATGAATATGGATAACGAACGATTTTAGAAATCATCTTGGAGTCAACCGAAACGTAAGTGGGAAGATTATGACAGGTACCACATTAAAGATCAGAATATTCGAGGAATTTAATGAAGAAACCTTTTAGGCAAGGACTGTTCGGGTTATCATCATTAATGTTGCCCAAAATCGGTCTTGGTCTTGCAATTCGCAAGACCAAGACCAAGGCCAGGGCTGATAAAAAAAAAATCGATTTTATGAATAAAAATTAAGTCAAAATAGTTACTAATACTCGACAATTTAAGTTACTATATGTTAATAATCGGTATAACCAATATACTTTTGCATTTAACTCCTCTAATTTTTCATTCGGGCTTAGTTAGGTTTCTCCTATCTAAAAAAATACTGTAATATCTCTATAGTAATAAACTAATAAGCAACTTCGAAACTCTTGCGCAAGACCAAGACCATGAGCAAGACTGAGTTTGTAAGACCAAGACTCTTCTCGGTCTCGCATTTGGGTAAAACTAATCATCATCGAGCCTCCGAGTTCGTCAAGCCTTCAATTAAATTATCCATTAAACTTTATACAGTCCGAAACAAGAGAAGGGTTTTCCCGCGCTCCTCTCTAAGGACCAAAACATTATTTTTATTTCCATGAATATGAGATATGTTTAAATATTTCTAAATCCAAGGCAGAGATTGTAAGCGGTAATTTGGCTAAGAAGAAGTACAATTTGAAGAATTATTTTTACGTTCGATAGGCCATGTAATGAGGAATGTTTTTGGCTTGGTAACATCACGTCATGGCTCATTGGAAAGGAGAGTACAAGTTGCTGTGAATAAAGCGCATGGGCAAACTTCCAAGCATGTTGGAGTTGACTAAAGAAGACGACTTCGGATTTTATCCAGTTTATCACATGCTCCTGGTTACGTACTTACCATGTGAAAGAAACATGCGTATTGAATCCGAATTTAACGTGAATGAAACCACAAGGCATAACTAATATTACAAATAATACACCAGAAATTCAGACAGCGAGTTGATACGTGAACTTTTAAAACAATACTCTGCTAACAATTATTTTTTAGGTCATGGTGTTAGTGTGCATCTGATAGTTAGAAACGATAATACAGTTTTCTTGTCCTTTTGTTAACTGTAATTTTCAAATAATTTATTCAATTTTAACCATTGAAATTAATGTTTTGTTATGGATATACAATTGTTTTTTACCATAGCAACTTGTATTGAAAAGGTAAGGAATGAATGAATGAATAACAATAAAAACGCGAAAAGTCTCAAATTTTTGCTGATGCATATTCGCACAGATAATTAGCGTTAATGAAAATTGGTGGGGACGTGACTGTCATTAACTGCCAGCGACTAGCACATGTCATGGTTATCTTATAATTTTAGTTTACAATAGTGTCTCCAGAACTTCCATCCGTGAAATCTATGTTTATAAAGTAGAGCACAGAGAAGCCCTAGAAGCATCATCTTTGGCGGCCGAATGCGTCACGATACATGGACTCAGGCCACACTTTCAAGAAGCAGTGTTATTTAATTTTTTTAGATAAATGTGAACTTTTTTTTATTATTTAAAATGTACGATCTCAATCTTTATATTTCTTTATCACCTGAATTATGTTGCAGGACAAATTTACATGATTTTTTTTTTCTCCATGCAATTACCCTATTGATACAAATTACATAAACACTAATATTTAATTTTATATTTAATTCAGGAAAAAGGTTCAGTCCACGACGGAGGAGTAAGAACAGTTGCTGCGATTTGGAGTCCACTGATCGAAAAGAAATCCCGTGTCTCAAATCAGTACTTTCACGTCACTGATTGGCTCCCAACACTTTACGCAGCTGCAGGTGATCTAATACAGACTATTTTCAAATAAACTCTCGTAACAATAATTTCCCAATTCCATTTCTTAATTCAAAACGAATATCGATCAAAACCATACATACATAAGGACAAAGTGTGTACATATATAGGTATATTATATCATACTTGTATATGTAAATAGTTTTTAAAAAAACTATTGAGGATAAGAAAAATAATCAAAATCATGAATCATATTTATTGCAGGAGGTCAGCCAGAAGACCTCGGAAGCCAGGATGGGATTAACCAATGGGCATCGCTGTTATCATCATCACCTGGGACGAGGGATATGATCTTGCTAAACATCAATGACGCCGATCAGACTGAAGCAGTGATTAAAAACAAATGGAAGCTAATAAAGAGTAAGCAGTTATTCTTTTTCCATTAATAAACAGCTATGCCGTAATAATGATCATGAAAAAAAATTGTAACTATAAGTAAGGTTAGTCAATTTAAGTGAGTCACATAAGTTATCAGGATAAGTCATCAATTGATGGATGGATTCCATCAGTAGAATTAGCGCTGAGCTTAGCAACTTTCCATTTTGCATAACTCTCTTGGTATTTGGATATAAGTTAGGTATATAAGTTAGTCGATATTTGTTATTATTTAAGTGATTTAAAAATTTTAACCCTGAAAATTTCATAACCTCAACTGTCGGAAGTAACATGTAAATTATTTCATTTATATCTCATTCTTTTCCTAGTCAGTGAAAATACAACTTTTCCCTTTCCTAGAAAAAAACAACTATCATTCAACAGTTTTCATCGTATATTTTATAGTTACTTGTTTATAGCTATCGACTGCTTTGGATAAAAAGACTTGCCCAATATTTGTGGTCATTATCCTAGCCAAAAAGGCGAAAGGAAGAAAATAAGTTAAAAAGAGAAATTTTGAGAAAACAACATTTAAATTGTCTTAATTTGACGTTTCTGCAGAAGGTATTGGAACCTCTAAAAAGCTTCTAACCAGTCTAATCACTTTTATCAAAAGTGAAAGATTACAAAACAATTTCGAATATATTCGTCATTACCGTAACTATAATTAGATGCTCAGAATCATTATTGTCTTAGTACTATACTTTTAAAGTTAATATCAATGGCTTCTCGACTCTATACCAGACTCTATAAAAATACGACATTCAGAATGCAAAATTGTCATTAGCCTAGATCTGACCCTCTACTTTTTTGGAGGGTCTAGCACTATATTTTATGTAATATATAACCATATTTTTTTTATATCTGATGATACTAAATGGTCAGTAATATTAGAATTTTTGTTTACTAGCATGTTCTTACAATTATGATTTTAGCTTGTAGGCCTCCCTTAATTAAGGAAGTATGGTCTAATTTTGCGCGGAGACCAGGCGTCCGAGAAAGTAGGGATTCGATCCTATGATTTTTTCTTTACTAATACGCTAACCACTCTGCTATTCCGGCCCAAATATTAGAATTACGCTATAATAATTAGTTATTAACAGTGATTTGAGACACTATGAGTTCAAATCTTGATTTGGAGTATTTCTGTTCCAGGCATAATTAATTACTTCAATAATAACACATATTGCTTTTTCCAGACCACGATCCTCAGCTGATGCAGATCAACAATGACATATATTACGGTGAAAACGGACGGTGGATGACCTACGATGCAAAGAAGTTGAATAGCAGCGCCGTGGCCCACATCTTAGGCCCGGTACCCGAGAATTATAGACAGCTGCGACAGTCCGCTTCGGTGGACAGCCCTTGCACCGACGAAGCAGCGGCTGCAGCAGAGGACTGCCACACTCGCTACTGCCTCTACGACATCCTGACCGATCCTACCGAGTGCTACAACCTGGCTGCCAACAACAGCAAGGTCGTAGCAGACCTCAAGGCGATCATAGACAGCTATAGGCCCAGCGTGGTACCGAGTCCAATCAAGTTCTTCGACAGCAGGGCGAGTCCCAAGAACTGGAATGACTACTGGTCGCCATGGATGGAATAGTACGATTTAAGGCTATTCGGCAATGTAGTAATGTTACATCTTATACGCAAATAATCGAGTTTTATCTACTAATAAAGTACTCATTATGAAATCATAAATAATGTTTTATATTGCAGAAACTCCTTGAATATTTAAATGTCTTTGTGTTAAGTGTAATTAAAGAATTACAAAATCTCTTTCTTTGTATTCATAATCATAAATGCAAAGAATTAAATTATTTTTAAAATTTACATTTAAAAAAATTTACAACAATATTCAATGTTGTACCTTTTTATTTCCTTCCTGTCATTTTTACAGATTTATAGAATAAATCTTTTCATACAATAAATTACTCATAAGTTCTAATAACGCCTAACTTTTAAAAAAATATCGAAAACATTGGCTTAACTCGTTAGTAATGATATTCTTCTAACAACTTATAGCTATTCCAATATGGGCAGAGATGGGGAAAGCCGGTCCAAAAAGCCAAAGATTTACAAGGTCTTTAAAGAGAACATAAAAAAAAAAAAAAAAAAAATGCTAACAACTATAGCATATTTTTATCCACTAAAGATTTTGATATGCATGATTACCACTCGATCGGATATGAAGAAACAAATTTTTTTGTAATATGTAAACTATATCCGTTAACTCTTTTTGAAACCAGCTTGGAATTGTGTTTGCTATTGCAAGGAGAATATGGAAGAAAATATTCAAAGAAAATATTCTTTATCGGCCTGTTTTGTTGTATTATTTAAAAAAAGGTAAGCGTGCTGCAGAAACTCATAGAAAAATTTGCAGTGTTTATGGAGATGATGGCTTAACCGAACACGCACCTGTCAAAATTGGTTTGCCAAATTTCATTTAGAAAATTTTGTTTTTGATGCTCAACGGTCTGATCGCCAACATGAAATTGAAACGAGCACTGTTAAGGCCATTGTTGATCAAATTCCCACCTTATCAGTGCGAGAATTTTCTCTAGCCCTAAATTTGTCGCACAAAAGCGTAGAAAACCATTTGCACAAGCTCGGCTATTTTTCCAGGCTTAATCATGGGTCCCTCACATGATTTTTTTTTTTCTCGAAAATTACAAAAAATGTTAGAACTTCAATACGGCTTTAGCTATCTAGCAGAAATTTAGGGCCATATAAACTACACAAAATGATATCAACAGGACCTTCGTAAACAAACTACAAACAGAGAAAAAAAATAAAAACCTATAAGGAGTTTTTGTTTATTTATTTCTTATGCAGGCATTAAATAAATAAAAAAATCCATATGGATTTGAAGAGCAATAATTTAGCTTTCCAACGGATATCGGCAACATCGAATTTGGAGAACATCCTGTAGAATTATGAATGATCGGAAGGGTGTTGTGTTCCACCAAGACAATGCTAGGTCCCACACTTCATTGGTCACTCGCAATAAATTATTGAGGCTTCCTTAGGACCTTTTGCCCCACCCTCCCTATTCACAAGACCTAACTCCAAGTGGCTACCATTTATTCCGGTATCTGCAGAACTCCATGAACGAGAAGAAATTCCAAAAGGAAGAGGACATCAAGAACCACTTGGATCAATTTTTTAACAATGAACTCCAAACATTCTATGAATATGGCATTATGCAGCAAGTGGAAAGATGGGGAAAAGTCATATTAAATAATGGTCAATATATCGTAGATTAAAATAAATTGTATGTCTTTAATACATTGAGTTTTATTTCACCCTGAAAAACCGAAAGGACTTATTGGCCGAATTATTATTGTCCGACAGGACTAATTATAAAAAAAAAAGCTTTCGTGCTGAAGCCCTCTCCCTCCCTCATAAGTAAATTCTGGATCCGCTAGTGTTGTAAATTGATCGTAAACGTATAGTAGTCATGATGCCAATGACCTATAATGGTCTGAAATGTTTTTATAATTCAAATAGATGTAATTTGTTTGCTATTGATAAAAGGCATTCACAAACAATATCCGGAACACGATAGTAGATTATTTATATAAATATTGCGGTCATAGTAACCTGAATCAAATATAATTATAGCAAATAATCTTGATGAAGTGATAATTGTGACAGTTTTAATTAGTACGAAAACTCAGATTCCTCTTGAGATTGAGATTGAGTAGATACCATTTTACAATCTCTGCTTATTAATTTCCTCCCTTGGAGGAGGAGGATTAGCGTTATCGATGAGGATGTGATATAAGGAGGTGGGTAAGCTCACGCCACTCCAGTTTACAGTCCGGCAGAATGTTCTTGTGTTTAGGGTTGGTGTTCGTGCTTCAGTGCCTGGCGCAGATCCGATGCGAGAGACCCAACATTGTTATCGTATTAGCAGACGACATGGTAAGGATCTCCATTTTATTCATGTAAATTTAGTTAAATAGGAGTTTGTATCAATTCAACTTGCAATAATTTGCTTATTTGAGTTTCATAATCTCAACCAAAATTAAAGAAAGTACGGAAATGAGCCCATTTTTAAAAAAATATTTTTAACATATAGTTCACACGTGATATTGATGCCTTCGCCCTCACCAATGCCTAAACCGATCATATCCAACTGAGGTCTTACGTCCTTTTTTTTTTCATTTATATAAAACGATAATTAATTTGAAAAAAAAATAAAGAAATTAACTACCTGTATGAAATAGTGTTTACGTGATTCTTGAAGTCATACTAAATGTAATTACACGAACAATAATACTTTAAGAGATAGTTTTCAATATTTTTTTCTATTAAACATGGTTATATTTTACCATTTTGGGGGGCTTCAGCCTCAAAGCCATCCTCCCTCCCCGTAGATCCGCCTGTGAGTTGCGTAAAAAACACGAAACCGACAATGTGTTGATCCCTGCCGAATTTTCTTGAGATAATATTTGCAACATTTGCCGCATGTCGTGAAACTAAATAAAATAATCTATTTACAGTTTAATAACAATGAAAAAGCCAGATAATTTATTCTACTCTGTATGAATATTTAAGTGACAATAATTTCAATAGGTATTCTTGCCAATTTAACTTCTATTAAATTTTTTTGCTGATCTTTACAAGACATTTTAAGTTGACCTTCGGGAAATGCTTTAATTAAACTAATTTAAAAATACAAATTAAACCCGTAGTTTAGCAATGAACAGGACAAAAATATTATAATAAATTAAACGATACAATGAAACATATAAAGGAGGAAAACATGAGAATGTGTGATTAATCCGAAACGTAAAGCAAATAAACGTTGTGGATAGTTACTAAGGTTCACAACTCAGCTTCTAAAATCATTTTACATTAATGAAAATAAAAAAAATCATTATCATTTCATTGAAGATACACATGATATTATCAATATTGGTTTTGGCTTATAATTAAATTCTGAAATATTTTTTATTCATTTTTGTTCTACACAGTCAGAACAAGGGGGGGAGGGTGTTGAATTTCAAAACGATTTTTGACGTTCAAAATTGGACATTTCATTAAAATTATCGGATTTTTCTAATTAATCCAAGGCGATTTAATTGTAGTCATTTTCCTATGAAATTAAAATAATAGAGCTTTTGCATAGGAGAGATAGAAATCATTGATAAATTTTTCTGGGTGCCGTTTAGAAATTTTTTTTAGTTTATTTAGTTTAGAAGTTGTTTTTTACCAAGTATTTAATTTAAAGTAATCGAAATGAATATCTATTAGACATGCATCAACTGATATATAGGTGTATACACATATATACACAAGAAATAACATACGTATGTATAACATAGTAATATAGAACGTAAATAAAACTAACAATAAGTTGAGGAGGCATGGGTAGTCGACCACAGGTAATACGCGATTGATGCGTACTAAGACCAAATCAATCTAAAATCGAGGAAGTAAACAATGTCTTGGTTATGTTCTTAACCTACTTTTGGATGACTTCAAGGTTTCGATGGTAGAACAGATTCCTAATCCTTTAAGATTTATTATTTAAATCAAGATATATACACAAGGTTGCACATCAGCACTTAGTACATATTGATAAGTCATTCACAAATAATTTGCTTACGTCAAAATATAGGCCAAACATCAAAATATTTTTGAATCCCCTCGAGAATCACGATATTTTTCTATTCCACCTAGGAGTGTTCCACCTAGGGTGAAATGCAGCAAGTTGTACCATTAAAATGACTATAAGAGGCTCATTTTAGAGGGTAATAGCTTTTTGCAGGGAACCATCTTCTTGCGGGGTTTCAAATCAGAAAGCATGCAACAAACCACAGGCGGATCTACGGGGAGAGGGGAGAGGGCTTTCAGGCTGATGCTCCCCCCCCCCCCAAAATGGTAAAATATAACCATGTTTTACAGAAGAAAACATTAAAAACTATCTGTTAAAGTATTCTTGTTCGTGCAATTATATTTAATAGGACTAAAGAACCACTTAAACACCATTTCATATAGGTAGTTAATTTCTTTCTTTTTTTTCAAATTAATTATAGTTATATGAATATGAAAAAAAATCTTTCAGGCTGTAGCCTCCACAAAATTCAATCCTGGATCCGCTAGTGCAACAAACCACAGCAAGTTTAGTAAATAAACAACCTTTTTTTTTTTTTGCTTTTTTACTGCTACTATGTAAGGAAAGTATTACAATTGGGTCAAATTTCCGATATGCGGTTTTCAAAAGATCTTTACGTTTCAGAGTCCCTTGATTCCGAAAAAAACATTATCAGCCATAGGTGTGCCAGTGCCGAGATAATCTCGGGAGCAAGAGGGCCGATTTTGTTGCTCCTTTTTTTTTTTTTTTTTTTTTTGAACACCAATGCCTGTAGCACAAATTGGGTGCTCTCAGCACAATAAGAGAAAAACATGATTTTCCATACACTATTGGGCAAAACAGCTTAAACTATTTTGATGAAACTTTCCTATAATTTTGTACTTAAAATCCTTTCAATTTTTTTTTTCCATTAAGTGAATTCCTGAGAAAATTCAGGAAAAAAAATTGATAATGAAAAGAAAAATATTTTTGGACCTAACTCGCAAAGTGTACAGGTACGGAGGTACGGAGCTGAAACAACATTAAGGGCGAAATACGAAGTTTGAACAGCTCAGAGAGTTTGAGTCTGAAGTTCAAAGCAGTGGATTAATATAAAAATAAAATAATTTCACCGTGTTCATTATAAATCGATTAATTTAACTGGCAATATTTATATATTTAAAAAATATATCAGTAACATATTTTAAATTGAAAATAAGCTTTTTCTCTCATTTCTCAGGTAGCTCAAAATCATAATTCATTAGGAGATGAAATAAATTTCTTTTTATACCGGACAACTTAAAGAATTGTTAAGTTATTGATAATTATATTTATTTTCTTTGTGTCGTTTCGGACAAAGTTTCAGGCCTTCATCAGGACTGCTCGTTCAAAGAATATAAATAATTATTACGAAGTGCATCCTATGGAATTCCCATAATATTGAGGAGCGAAGTACAATGTTCGAACTGCATAGACAGGTTGAGTCTAAAGTTCAAAATAGCCGGTTTGTATAAAAATAAAATAATTCCATCGAGTGCATTTAATTTATAATTATAAAGAATTTCGAAAAACGAGGTGCAAAAGCCTTGTAGTAAAATTTTCTTAGGAAACATGGTTTTGACTTTTTCTGGAAATGTTGGCTTCGCGCACAATCAAAAAAATAAACAAAAACGTAATTTATTTCCTTACATCTTTGTCTTATACATGCAATAAATATTTAACGGAAAATCTAGTTCATAAAATAAAAATTACATTTTTATTTCAATCCAAAATAAATTTAGATTTTGCAACGTCGTTATCGATATACTAATATTTATTTATTTAATATCACTTTTTAAACACTTATCTACCTACATCCTTGTTCGTACATTAAGAATCGATTAATTTAACATATAATAGTATTTACTTAGAACAATTTGAAAGAGTTAAATAAGATGCAACTGATTTTTCAGGGCAGTCATTTAATATTCAAGATTTACCAATAGAAAAAAAAAATGAATCTGAAATGAAATTCTTACCGATTTTGGCACTTTAAACGACAACCTTGAACACTTTAATATTTCTAAAAGAGAGCAAGTACAACATAAAATCCACATTAGATATCTATCAAACAAATAAAGAAATATCTTATACATATCTACCGTATCATTGGTACCATGTTATAGTAACGAATGTGAGCATGTTTAACGTTACACTTTCGTTACTTTAACATGTTGCCAACAACACGTTAAAACGTAAATAAAATTTGTTTAAATTCTTCCTCTATATAACGCGTCAGGAGAAAAATCATTTTATGTTTCAGAGCGTGTAAACAATTACTTAAGGAACACTATGAGAGAAGAAAGATTAAATACTAGGATTAATATATAATCTATATATAGAGTGAAACATTTTAAGAAAAATTGACATTGCCAAATTGACTGATGAATTTGTAAGAAAAAACCTCAAGATGAAAATTATAATTGTTATAAAAGAAATGTTTAAAACGTATCTTTTTTTAATAAATTAACACTTGTCTTGATCCGCCCCTAATTACAAGGATTAAAGAAAAGTTTACCGCACCATTAGATCAACTGCTGTTGATATTTTAAAAAATATGCGATAATGTCATAACTAACTCCTCTTTTTTAAATCTATGTAAAATTTTTTATAATTTAAAAAACATGAATACATAAAAATATTGGCTATAAAATGCCTAAATTAATTTATTCATATGTTAACAGGGGTGGAACGATGTCGGCTTCCACAGTGGCGATATGGATACTCCCAACATCGACGCCCTGGCCTACAACGGAGTCATCCTCACCAGACACTATTCTCAACCAGTCTGTACTCCCTCTAGGGCAGCTCTACTCACAGGGGATTATCCATTTAGGAATGGTGCATATTAAATCAATTATGTAATAAATAGATATATTTTAAAGCTTATTAGTCATAAAAATGACTAATTTTAAATAGTAATGAATGTTAAATCCATAACATTCTTTACTGAGTGTATTCATGAGCCACCAAACATATTTTTTGCAACAATGATCAACAATTGTTTATTCTATTATTGATATAAAATTACTGTTGTCATATTTTGTTTCAGCTTTGCTTAATATTTTAGATAGAACACACCCCCATCCAAAACTAATCTCTTAAATTCTAAAAAGAAAATAAACCTGATTAAGAAAATTGTCCTTCAAGGCAATATTAAAAATTGTTAAAAGAATAAACTGCGCAATTCTACTTTTTGGCCAATAAACCAATTTAACTTGACCTTTTAAAACATCCTATTGGATAGCACTGTTTTATTAAGGACAAGGGTAATCTTATTGTAGTTCAAATTGAAGTATAAATTTCAGAAGCTAAATACTAGGAACAACTTAAATATTGTTATTTACAATAAATTAAATAAATATTGTTTTAAAGAAACTCATTTTAGGGTCCACTTTATGATTCATAATTACTTGAGTGCTCTCAACTAATAGACAATGTTCAACAATGGATTAATGGTATTTTAGTATTCTTGAGATTCAACTGAATTACTTTACAGAACAACTTTAATTGAGGTATTAATTGTTAATTAAACTAATTGATTGCAGGAATGCAGGGTAGACCATGCAGAGCAGGTTTACCAGATGGACTTAGAACAGGTGTTAAACTGATGCCAGAGGTACCATAACACATTTTATCAATTAAAATAACATTCACTTTATTTATTTAGTTGTAGTTTCTTGAATACCAAAACATAAATGCAGGTATGTTCCATAATATGCTATATGATACCTTACAGTTTAAGGTATGACTATCCGTTAAATTGTTAAAAACACAATGTCACAATAGTAATTTATCTTAGTGATATATTATTTTACAATAACATAATACCTTCATAGTCGATACTATAAATTATAAAATGTAATAATAAAATTATTTAAAGCACTAAATAAAACTATTCTTCAAAATAAGATGGAAATTGTTCAAATTATATCTTTTGTTTTCATTTTTTGTTTGCACCGTAATATTCATGAAAAAACAAATTATCTAGAGATCAAATGATAGATGAAATAATATATAGAAATGAAAAAAAAAAAAGTGTTAATATATTTTTAAACAGGCAAGCGAGTTTTTAACTTGCTTATATAAACTCCAGAAATAAATTCCCTTATATTCAAGCGAATTGAAAACTAGAAATGACTTTATGAGATGACATAAAATACTTCATTTTATTTTTTCAGTATTTTTCTTCCTTGGGCTACAAATCACATCTGATAGGAAAATGGCACCTTGGTTACCAGACTCCAAATCATCTCCCAACAAGAAGAGGATTTAATTCATTCTTTGGCTATCTGAATGGATTTCTTGGTTATTGGGATGGAACACATTATGATGGGGTAAAATGATTGAAATATTTTTAAACAATTATCATAAGTAACCTAATAGATATCAGTGTATAGGATATAATATATAAGGATAGGAAAAAACTTCAGAAATACTTAATTGAAAATATTATGAAGTCTTTCAGAATACTAAGATAATCTTCAAATTTGCAATTTACCGGACAAACGAGTTGACCTTGAGAAGGAAATATATATTTCTATACTATATAACTCCATGAATGATCTGGACACCATATCTATTATTATTTTTTTATTTTTTTTACATCATCAGATTCTGATAAACAAAGCTCGCCTACAAGTAAGACAAACTCGCCTACAAGTAAATGAAGACAAAACAAAATATATGATAGCTGAAAAATCCACCCAAATAGTATGATGTGCATAGATTCTAAATCATTCCCAAAAGTAGACAGATTCAAATACCTCGGTTCCTAAATACCATCAATAAATGATCAAGTAACAGAGATAGTATAACAGTGAAAAAAGAGCTTTATTCTCTCTTTCTAGGGTAACAAAATCTATAAAAATCTCCAGAAATATAAAAAATCATATCAATCTCAGAAATCTCACATCACCAAGGGTGTACACTATGATTAAGCCAGTTCTATCTATAATAGGTCCAGGGCTGCAACTGGCACTCTAGAAAGTAGAGTGCAACTCAGCAGAAATTTGGAAGAAACTACCTCCATATAATAACTGTGTGTATGTATATTTATAAAATATGTATAGAATACAAAATATATATATGGAAAATAAAAACATTTTCCTTATTTATATATAATATTTATATAGTAAATATAATATTAAAATTATAATAAAATGACTACGTTGATACTATATAATAAATTTACATGTTTATAAAAATATTTTTCAGTGATCAAATGTGTTATATGGAAAACAAAATTTTAAGTCCATTGATAAAGTCTGATCCATTTTTCAGGATAATGTTGGGAGGGACATAAGAAGGAATGAAGAAGAAGCTTGGAGACCAACATACGGCAAATACCTTACGCACTTGCTAACAGAGGAAGCGATCAACGTAATCGATAACCATGAAGGAACCGAAGGGCTTTTAATGATAGTTGCTGAAGCTGCTATCCATGCGACCAACCTCGATATTGGAAGGGAGGCACCATACGACGTGAAGAACACAACAAAGAGGGGGTATCTAAGAGGCGAGTATTAATCTTCCTATTGTAAATGTCTCTAAGAATAGTTTTACAATGGTTAGGACACATCGAAATGAATTTTATGAACTCTGGTCAGAAGATCTAATATGATAAACGAATTCCTTGAGAAACATAAAAAATCAAATATTCACTTGATTCATAAACTAATTTAAGCCATCTGTCATTAGCTGTTGTTGGTGAACTGGACTGGTCCATTGGACAAATAGTATTGGCACTAGAAAAGAAAAACATTTTGAACAATACTATCATCGTTTTTATTTCTGACAACGGAGCTCCTAGCTCATCACCAAATTTCTGCAACAGTGGTTCCAACTGGCCGCTGAGAGGGGTAAGAATAATATTTAGCATACATAGTAATATTAATACGTAGGACAATATAAATTAAGTTTTTTTAAAAAGTACTTTATAGAAAACATAATATTAAAACAAAATCTGAATTAATACTTTTGTTATAATACAATATTTAAATAAATAAATGATTTATCCTCAACATTTATATAGTAAAACACAGAAATAATGAGAAAAGATATTAAAAAAATGTGGATATAAGATTATGGTTTAATAATCCTAATAATAAATAATTAAATTAATAATAAACATAATATGAAACAAAATAATGAGAAGGTATAAAACAATTGATACCATACTAGTTAACTACACTAATTTATTTGCCTTATGGTCGGTTCAAAATAATCAAATTAGTTTTTGATTGTTATTTATTGTACGTTTTGCGGAGTCTTCAGCATGATTATATTCTCCCAAGAAATTACTGTGACTTACCCAATTTCCTGGGGAAATAAAATATTGCTGAAGAGGAGGAGAAAGACTATAAATAACAATCAATAATAAATAATTTGATTATTTTAAATTGACCATAAGGAAAATTAATAAATGTTAAAAGAATTTTTAAAATTTCATTTTTAAATAAATAAATACTCTACTCCTATGTTTTGAAAAAAATAGTTTTGGAGTGTTCAGAATAAAAAAAGAAGTGTTTTCTTATTGTAAAATTAGCATGTGCTAGGTAAGACTAAATTAAATTACTCTCACTAACGAGTTAATTTGCTTATTCAGTATATTAAGGTCATGAACAATCATAAATTCACAATACCTTGACTATCTTCTTTGCTAGGAGAAGTTATCAGTCCATGAAGGGGGAGTAAGAACGATCGCAGCAGTATGGAGTCCTCTTTTTGAAGAGCCATCCCGCTTATCCGACCAGCTCTTCCATATCACTGACTGGTTACCGACACTTTACGCGGCTGCTGGTAAAAATGACATTTTGTTAACATCTTTAAAATAAATTGTTATTAGAATATATAATCAAATTATTCATAAAATTTATATCTTAGAGTACTCAAGTGCTATATCAACACTTTTTATAGTTTGATGATTTTTTATTGATTATCTCCTGTTTTCTGGATGACCATGTACCCCTAAGTGAATAGATAAGGGGTTGTTAGTCTACTGGACACAACTTGTCCTTCAATTTCAAATTGATAGCTTGATGTGAGCTGGAAAGTGGCTAGGGAGCCAAATAAACCATAAATAAATGTAAAAAAAAAATATTCATAATAAAATTTAGGCATTAGGCAAGCTGAATTTTATTTTTTAAGGTGGTGACCCAAAAGACTTAGAAATACATGATGGAATAAACCAATGGCCTTCTTTGGCACAAACCCAATCAGGAACACGAGATACAGTCGTAGTTGACATAGATGATGTTAGCAACTGTGAAGCTATAATTAAAGGAAATTGGAAAATGGTCAAAAGTAAGCTATTTATTTATATTAAGGAGTGCATATTAGATTTAATTACTTGAATAAATAGATTCTCAAAATCATCTTAACTATTCCTCATCCATACAGTGTGAGATGCCTTTCAGCAATGTCTGGACCAAGCTCCACGATACTCAAACAGTTCTCTTCTCATGTCCCTTTCCAGACCTCTCTTTGCAAAGAATTCCCATACTTCTTTCCAGATATATTGAGGTCTTCATTTTGTTTTTCTCCCGTCAACCTTCGCCTCATATGTGATCTTAGCACAGTAATCCATTATCAATTTTTAAAACATGTTTTTATATGTCCAAACCAAATTAGACAGTATTCTTCAACAATCTTTTCTGCTGGTCCAACATCAAGGTTTGGTATTTTGGATTTGGTCTCTTCTAGTTTTCCCTTCTATCTTTGTAATGAGCCTCATTTCAGATACTTATGTTTTGCTTCATGGCTATTGATCATGATTTGAAGGAGTAATTATTTTGAGGAGAAATATCAATATGTAAACCTTCAATTCGGTGTCCTTCAAGACTTTCTTACTTTCTTTTTGGTCAAACGGTTTCTATTTACAATGTAAAACATCTTTCCAGTCGTAATCACTTTTTCTTTGATTTCATTGTTAATTATTTCATTCTCATCCCAATTGATTTATAGATATTTAAACATTATGATCTGTTTGGTGGCTTTGTTTTTTATTCTTATTATTTTCATTCTCTGCCATGATCCTATTCCTATCCTATATCCACAATCCTACAGATTCGCCTTTGTTATCTCCATACTAATTTATTCTATTAATAAGTAAAATATATCAATAATATAAATACAATATATCATTAAGATTAGTCGGTAGTCTAAAAACAGAAAAGTGCTAGTGTCTTAAAAGAAAAGAATTTCATGAATTATTGAAGGAAGTTAGTCGACTGTTCTATATATCATGGGTGATAAATATTGAGGACGCTGTCATTATAAAGTTTTTATTGGTGCTGACGTTTCAATCCAAATATGTGGGTTGTTATCAGGATGTTTCGAGCACTGAAGGTATTCAACTTGAATCACTTGGGGTATTGAATTCACCAGTACTTGAATACCTCCAGTGCTCAAAACACACCCTGATGATGACACACATGTTTAGGTTGAAACGTAGGCACCAATAAAAACTTGAATTGAATGTGTCATGAATATTTATCACCCATGAAAAGAATTTTAAAATTATATAACTTAGTTTTTTAAATAAAATTTACAATAAATAAAAATAATTAATATAGACTAGCCTGGATGATATGTTAACAAGTTTTATTTTTAACTATGTTTTAAGAGTATTTAGTTACTATTTAACAGGTAGGAGATAATTTCAATGTACATCAGATCAAATAGACAACTCCATTTAATTATTTCATTTCAGTGTAATTAGATATAAATTACAGTTGAACTTTTTGATAATCATAATTTTACAAATAGTTAAGATTATAATTTTAATATATATATATTATATTATTATTTATATTTTATAATATATATGCACTTTTTTAAATTTCAGATCATGAATTCTCAAATGAAAGAAAATTTAGTGACAAATACTATGGTGAGAACGGTCGCTGGTTGCGCTACAATGATACAAATTTAAAGAGTAGCATTGTTGCCAAAGTACTAGGTGGTGTTCCAAGTAACTACTGCCAACTGAGGAATGCTTCAACCATATTTTCTTTCTGTCCTGATGAAGCTAATTCAATGGCAGAGGATTGTCACTCCCAGTATTGCCTATACGATATCTACCACGATCCTACGGAATGTTACAATATAGCTCAACACCATACCGATATAGTCGAGAATTTGAAGGCTCTTCTTGATGACTATAGGAAACATCTTGTGCCAAATACACATAAGAACTATGACCCAAGATCAGATCCAAAATATTGGAATGATTATTGGTCTCCTTGGCTAAATGAAACAACTGACGAATAAAAATGTATCTGTTTAATCAAAAATCAGTCTTTCATTATTATACTATAGTCTATGTAATTACTATATGTAGAAAAATAAAATATATTCAATCTTTATTTAAGAAAAGTATAAATAAGATTACTATAAAACAATTTATTTCGAATCAGTATTATTTTAATCTCAATATGTTCATGAGTTCAATCAATCTGAATGAAAATAGAACATTATAAACATTCATTATCATATTAAAGTATGTTCAATAGAAATGTTGAATCCAACAATTCATTATTTTCGAGGAGAACACATTTGAAAAGACATTTTAGAAAACGTTGTTAGATGTTGTTGTCCATTTTCACATCGGAGATCTACAAAGGAGATATTGAAATATGAAAATTACAGAGTAATTATTTTACAAAATTATCACATTTTAAATCTAAAAGGATGGTAATCTGAAAATACACTTTTAGTTTCATTCCCTCTATTAAATAATACCAACTATGTATAGAAATTTTTTTAAGTAAGAAAACCAAAATATATTAATTTAATAAACATTAAGAGAATGTACAAATATATTTATATTTATTATATTAATGAATAAATGGTTATTGTTCTTGTGTTTTTTAAAAATTAATTTATAGAAATTACCATTTATGTAAATTAAATTGTAATAAAAATATGAGAAACGAGTGTAGAAATTTTAATGATGAGAGAATGACCATGTTATGGTAAATATTTTGAAATAAAGAATAATTTTAAGTGGCTGAAGTTCAAAAATGTTGGATGCCAATAAGGTGATGTAAGTTGAGTAATTAATGTTCAATTAATTAGAAAAATATGGATTTTTACTGAAAAATCCTTCGAAGAAGCATATTTCAACAACAGTTTGAGATAGAAAGGTGGATTTATTTTATTTTTTTGTTTTTCAACCTTTGTCAATACAGTAATGTATTAATATTAGTATTTTTACTAATAAAACAAAGCAAGAAGATCAGTTTATTGTTCTTTGTTTTTGCAATAAGAATATTTATAATATTCTTTACATACCATCAAACAAACTAGGAAGTACAAATTATTTTTGAAGTCCTAACATGTTTATTTATCTATTTATGCTATAATTATATACGTTTATATTTTTCTCTAACTTTCAGAATTAAGAAAAACATAGGCGTTGATGATCTTTGGGTTTTATGGTTCTAAGCCAAAACAAAAAAATATAGTGTAGAGTAAGGTCACCAACCAACAGTTAGGATTTAGTAATTAAGTACCCATAAGCCCACTTTTCGTATTATATTTCTCCCCTTCCTTTCTCTTCCTCCCTCCTATTAACAATACCAGTGGAAAAAAAAACAATAATGATTAATTAAATTATATTTTTGTTTTATGAATGGTTAATTATCAAATTTAAGGACCCATTTTTTCATCCCCACAATACAGATGCAAATAAAAATTGTCTTAATCAATATTAAAAACTATTATTTCATAAAAAACAACATATATTTGTAATTTTTTGGCTCCTTTGACCATTATCAAATATTTCTTCATGCATATTATAACTAACTGTTCATTGTAATTATTCATAGGGGATTAAATGTCTCAGAATAAAATTTACTTTTCTTCTTATTTTCAACATTCTAAATTTTTGTGAAACTATTTGTCACTATGTTATCATTTAGAAAAAAATATCTTGATTGACGAAAAGAAAAATGATTGCCTAAATGTAAGGATTTTGACAAATGGTTTAACAACAATTTAGACAGGTAGTAATAATATCTACAAAGAAATGTTTGGAAATGGTCTGAAGAACCTAAACAACACAAATATAAGTGATATAACTAAATAAAAATTTCAAATATTGATAATGAAAATTTTTATTTATAAATTTTTGGAATGAAAAAATTAATCCAAAAAAATGTTAATTAGCCGTTCATAAATTAGCATTATTGATTCCCATCTTTATATACTGTACAATGTATATATAAAAACATGAGTAACGAATTTAAAGGTGAAAGAAATAAATTGTATAATTAGCATATAATTCTTTTGTATGCTAATATTATAAACATACAATATTCAAACATAATTTTCTTTAAAACATAAAGTAAAGAAAATTCTACACAAAAAAGATCATTTAATTATTTTCTTTCTTTTGACCTATTTTCTGAAGCTAATGACTGTACAGAAAATATTTAGGTACTATATTGAATAAGAAAAATTTGTAATTTAAATATTCAGTTTGATATTTTTAGATGCAATGTTATTTCATTGCAATACTACTTAATGTAAACATCTAAATTAAATATTCAACGTAATATTTTATTTTATAAACAAAATGTTACCATTGAGAATCAGACTTGAGTGGTTAATATTACATTTCCTAATGGCTACACAATAAATATCTAATTTGGAGCCTTTTTTCGTTGCCGTTGTACTCTAAAGATGGCACCACATATTATAGTGTTACATTTCAGGTATCCTAACCTTTACCTAAGATAACAGTTATCAGTTGTCAAGTTCTCCCGGCTCAAAATCAAGTCCTGTGATAATGTCCATATTTACTTCAAATAATGTTCTCCACTAAGGAAAAGCTGAAATCACGAACAGGAAAAAATAGTGTCGGAAGATACGATTTTCTCAAACTTTTAGTGGATGAGTTCTATAAGACTAAATCAAGAGGTTAGTACTTTTAGAAGTCAGCTTAAGGAAAGTTCTGTTTTTAAATAGATTGTTGAAAACTTAAACAGACATTTATGTGTGCCTTTTATTATATTACCAGCTATAATAGTCCCTCAGTGCGGTTGAATCTTAGTCTGCTAATATTTATTTTGTAGTGGAATAATCAAAAGGTATCCTTCTCAAGTTAGGAAATTGATAAAAAAAAAAAAAAAAAATTTGGAATCTGTTCTAGTGCGAAAGAATAGTTCTAGTCCGTGTAATGACCTACCTTAGGGTAGCAGAGAGTTAAAAACTACAAATAACAAGTTAAGACATATTCATTCAGTCATGCTTACTTAAATACATTTTTGGCCAGATGTAGTTTTTATTTTTTTGTTCACAACTGTTATTCATAAGGGACCTCGTCCCAGAATAAAATTTATTTTCTATCTAAATATGTTTTTATTTTTATTTTTTTTAACTTCATTTCTTCACCCACACCTGTCATAAACAATGACAATTAGGGGGTCTGCTTTCGGTAAGAGTAAAGGTAATGGCTTGATTGGCGCGATGGAGAGGAGTGCGCAGCGCCATCCCTTCCTAAATATGTTTTAAATAGAATTTGGGAAAAATTATTTGGGTCAACATCATTAATCATAAGTAATTAATAAACTAATATTTCCAAAAATGTAACAATGGTAACCGAACTATTAGCAGGAGTGTCATTCGACATTTAATTAATTTTTGTATTTGTATTTTAGATGCACAGGAACAAGTGATCGCGAATCTTGCTAATTTTGCTTATGATCCAATAAATTATGAATTCATTAGAAAGTTACACATAATTGATGTATTCCTTGATGAAATTGGAAACACTAATGATAAGATTACAGAATTTGCAATTGGAGGATTATGCAATTTGTGTTTAGGTAAGCTTTGTCTTGTTTTATTAAAGATATACCTATCTACTTGTTCAAAAATAATTTTTAATAATATGTTCAGTTAGTGTGGTTTTTAAATTCTTTATACTAAAGTTCAATGTTTAAAGCTAGAACTTTTTTTTTAATAATGTGAGCTCAGTATGATTGCTTCATACGAATGGATGTTTCATTTTTTTTCATATTACTAATCAAGAATTAGACTGCATTTTTTTTTCATGCGGAACTTGAATTTTTAAAATAATAAAAATTGCTAAGTTAGGATTAGTCAAGGTGATATAACAATAAAAAAAACATCATTTTGCTTCCTCACTACCCAAGGTAGAGAAGAATTATATTTCAATGTTGTTTATTAGTTTATTACACTATATATTTGTATACATGTATTTTATTACAGATCCAATCAACAAGGAGTACATCATTAATAAAAGAGGTGTTTCAATTGTTGCTAAATGTTTGTTTCATAGAAATGAAGAAATATTGATATCAGCAATTACTACATTAATATTCTTAATAACCCCTGCTTCAAAATCTGGTATTTATACATGACTAACTTTTATTTCTAATATTAATTTTTCTGTGAAGAAGACTTTTTCTTGGCATCTTAGAAATTTACAGCTCATTAAAACATGTTAAATTCTTTTTCAAAAATGACTTTCTCTAATAAAATATATTAATATAATATTCCCAAAGCATTGTTAATATAGCTTCCAGTTCTTTAGAAAATAAAGCATAAATTACAAATGTCATATTTTTATCCTACAACTGTTTGCACTTCAATGAATCATGTTATAATTACTAAACTTTATTAATATCCTATTCAATGAATGGCTATATAGCATCTCTTATAAAACATACTATCAATTAATTTCTTTTTTGGGGGGTGGAGGGTAATTTTAAGAAGCTGTTCTTATTTGAAACTGCAGGATTTATTGCCTTTTATTTAAGAAAAGCGTTGTCCTACAGTTCAACCTTCATTAAACTATGGACAGCCAAGTAAGGAACTGAATAACATCCAAAATTTATGTATGAAACAAATAACTAGTGTTAGTATAAAAGGTCATATGTAACAATTTTACATTTTTATTCACATTGCTCTAAAGGTGGCATTTGGTAGCCTGCAATTGCTGTAAGTAGTCTGCTAAATAGAAAAACGACAGAGAGAAATAAAGTATGAAATTATACTAATAAATCATAAAGAAATAATTGGTTTTAATGTTCTTCTGTAAAAAAAGTCAATTTTTACATACAATCTTTTGCACTAACAGTAGTGATATACTTGACTATAATAAGGCCTATTTGGACTTACGAAGTTGAGCTATGGGGCTCCACTAAACCATCGAATTCCTCTCGTATCGAATCCTTACAATCCAAAATCCTTCGTAAAATCCTCAATGCTCCCTACTTTGTTACAAATAAAACCATCCATAATGACCTTAATGTTTCTTTTGTTTCAGATCTGGCCCAATCCAGATACCTATCCTTCCATAATAAACTTCAGAATCATCCCAACCCCTTGCTTCCACTTCAATTCCTGATAACCCTCCGAGGTGTCTGAAAAGAAGATGGCCCCGTGATCTCCTAATGTAAACATATCATTAGAGTGCTACCATTGGGTAGTTACTCAGCAAGTGTTTTTCATGTCATTACATACATTATGTTCAAATTTACTAAATGTATTTATTTAATACAGTTGTAAATGTCTTTAAGAAATAAAAAAAAAACAAAAAAAAAAAAAAAAAATAGTGAAATGAACCGTTCACTAAAAATTGTCTTTCTTGTCGTTTTATCTTTGCTGAGTTGATGATGATCAATATTTAGTCTTTTCAGTAGAATTTTAAACAACATCCAGATGCAATACTAGTAATAATGTAAAAACAATAAAACTATAAGTAAACATTATCGAAGAACTCTTACACTGAAATCTTATTATTGTATTATCTTAAATTATTTGTAATTTAATAATTTTAAATTCTCTTTCTACTGATCAGATTGAGGATTTTTTTAGTTTAAAATCTTCTTGAGACAATACAGACTATTTTGCAAAAACGTATGTTTTAGTTGGTCCAATAGTTTTCACAATTAGCAGTTTCAAATAAAAAACTGGCTGTATTTTTAACTAATAGTATGGATTAATTTATCTTTCCAAATTATTTAATTTATTATTATCTGTCAGTTTTGTAAAACTAAAGTAAATGTTTTGAATAAAGAACATTAATACAGGAACAAAAAATTAATAGTTTTAGTTACATTTTATAAATTAGGGTGGTATAAATGAAAATATTTATTAACTTTTGTATTTCATCAAATATTATGTTTCTTTAAACAAACAAAAAAAGGAAATTGATAACATATAATGATGATACATTTATATCAAATAGTATAGGTCATTGTGAGTAGTATATGATGTCATAAACAAAAATTAAATAAATAAATTTTTAAAAATTAATGGATATATAATTTATTATATTTTATTGACATTAATCATAATTATTCTTTGTTTTTTCTTTTAGAGCTAACTTGCCCTGAAATTGTGGAGTGTATTACTACACATCTGAGGAACCCTAACAAAAGGATAAAAAATCTTGCAAATGTTTATTTAGAAACATGTTGTTCGAAGAAACAAGTAGCTGAAGCTGCTCATAATGTTGATTTAAAACTTGGTAAACTTTAAGAAAACAAGGAAGTGACACCCCATTGCTAACTCAGTTGTTTTGATTAACAATGCTGATAAAATTGTTACGTAATAGACTCTGTCCTTCTAGAATTATGTTTATGCCTCATGGCCATTTATCATCTAATTGGGGCAATGAACTTGGGGAAACCCTAATTCAAAAAGAAACAATTGAACGTACAATTACTGAAGAAGATGTTAATTTGTTTTCTAAAGTAACAGGGGACTTTAATGTTATTCATTCTAGCAGTGAAGATAAACCAGGGATAGTGCATGGTGCATTGCTTAATGGCATTGTATCTGGTGTTATAGGGACCAAATTACCTGGCAATGGTACAATACTTCTCAGTCAAACATTAAACTTTCCTAAGCCCTGTTTTGTTGGGGAAACTGTAATAGTAACTGTAGAAATTGAAAAACTTAGAAAAATAACTTCATGTAAATACCAAATTATAAGTAAAGTGTCTGAATCAGTTGTTATGTTTGGTTCTGCTAAGCTACTTCTTAAATGTGATAAAACATAATAACTTGAATTTCATTTACAATACATTCATATAAACTTGTTTTTATATTTTGTAGTATAATGTAACATATTGTTGTAATAAAATGTATAGAAGTGATGAAGTATAGAAGCTACTAAAAAAAGACTTGTTTATTTACTTCACATGTTTTTCCAAAATATAGATGTTTGATAAACACGTTAAAAATTACTTAAAAGTGTTACCTGAAATGATAAATAAGAAAATAATTAAAATAAATAAAGATAAGTTTATTCTGTAAAAGGTAAGTATTCAAAGTAAAATATGATCAAGGGAACTAAGGGAAAAAAAAAATGTTTTCTTTACATACATCCTTAAATTTAACAAATATTTATTTTTGTATTCTATGTATTAAACATTTATTTTTCCTAGCATGAAGTCAATTGATAATTAATCTTATTTTAATCTTTGTATTATAAATGTTAACATATCACGAGTGTATGTCCAAAGGATTTGTCATACATTTTATGGGTAGCTCAGTGGGTGAGCACAGACTTCCAGAGTTCAAGGTCTCAGGTTTAAATCCGGCTGATGACTAGTAATTTTTCAACAGCCTTTGGGTAAGGAGATCCTCCTGAGGTGTACCCATCCTCTTAAAAGTGGATACTCTTAATTAAACGAGAAAACCTGGCGGTTGAGTATGATCTCAGCCCAATCACGTCTCTCAATAAGTACTCTTAGGTTGTGGTGGTACAGCTTTTTTTTTTAACAAAACTCAATGTTTTATAGACATAAAATTTAATTTTAATCTAAAATATATTGACCATTATTTAATATGATTTTTCCCATCTTTTCTCTAACTGCGTAATGCCATGTTCATAGAATGTCTGGAGTTTATTGTTAAAAAACATCCAAGTGTTTTTTTATGTTTTCTTCCTTTTGGAATTTCTTTCCATATATAGAATTCTGCAGAGACCGGAATAAGTGGTAGTCACTTGGAGCTAGGTCTGATGAATAAGGAGGGTGGGGCAATAGATCCTAAGCAAGGCCCAATAATTTATTGCACGTGACCAATGAAGTTTGAGGCCTAGCGTTGTCTTGGTGGAACACAACACCCTTCCGATCATTCATAACTCTTCAGGATGTTCTCCCAATTTGATGTTACTATATTCGTTAGAAAGCTGAATTATTGCTTTTCAAAGCCGTATGACTGGTTTTTTTTTATTTAATGTCTATATAAGGAATAAATAAACAAAAACTTCTTATAGGTTTTTATTTTTTATCTCCATTTGTAGTTTGTTTACAAAGGTTCTGTTGATGTCATTTTGTGTAGTTTATGCGGTCCTAAAATTTCTTGTAGACAGCTAAAGTCTTATTGAAGTTATAACATTTTTTGTGATTTAAAAAAAAAAATATGTCAATAGAATGATATTTTCTTCCATATTTACAGTGCAATAGTGAAGACAATACTAAGCTAGTTAACGGGTAAAGTTGTTAACATATAAACAAGAGAAACAATCCACCTTAAGGATTAATCCATCAGATAAGTGTATCATAGTGACAAAAATAAACAGAAAAACTGAAAGGACTTGTTTGCCAAGCCAATATTTATTGTTTTTTAAATTACTAGGAATAAAACATAAATTATCAAAGTATTAATAGATTTAGTGGAATCATCCTTAGATATCCAAAAAATGTTTTTGTTTTATGAGCAAACAAGTTACTATGTAAGGTAATAAACTAAGTAAGGCTACTTAACAAATAATTTAAACTGTTTGCCTCTTCAAAGATATATAAGATGTATTTTTACACATGTCTTCTCATTCCTAAAAGTTAAGTTTCAATGATCATATTTATTTTCATTAAACTTAAGCAGCCCATTGCTAAATCAGTATGTTGATGAAATTTTATATTAACTCAATATATTGACCATGTATAGGCAATTCATCATAAAGTACATTGTCGAAATGAAATGGCTTGATATAAAAAAAAAAAAAAAAAAAAATGATTCCCATAGAAAAGAAAACAGAAGGCAAATTTATCTATACAATCACTAAAACCAAAGAAAACATGAGCTCCTATTAAAAAGATTGTGCCCAATAAAACAAAATAACAGGAAAATGCTATTCTGCTACTAAGGAAACAACAATTAAAAAAAAAGTCAGGTTATCTATTATCTAAATAAATTAACAAATATAATTACAAAGATTTTCCGCCATTTTTACTTTATTAAAATTCATAACTAATCTGATGAAATAAAATAAAAAATCGAATGTTTTTGTTAGTATTTAATTTTAAAACTAATTGAAATTACTTATTTCGAATAAAACTTAACATTGTACAATATCATAATGATTTTTATTTTTAAAGATTGCATTTTGTAAGCTATAGAATATTACTACAAAGCTTGATAATGTTAAGTAATAAATTAAGGAATATTTTGGTTTATTATGTTATTACTACTTTATCTTAAATTAGTTTTGATATATATAATGTTATAATCTAGATAGATAATATATAATCATAAATTACCTAAATGAATGTTGGATTAGTTAATTTCATTCTCGATTGTAACTTTCTTTGGAATGAAAAGGTACATCCAGAAAACTTTTTGACCAATGTTACCAACCTTGAAATTATTCTAATTTATATTCAAATGAGATTATTTGATGAAAGGCATTTCAAGTGGATAAATGTTTTTAATTTAGAATATTTTGTGGATTACCAATATAGGAAATTATAAAAAGTAGTCATGATTGAATATACAACACAACAGGCATTCATGAAAGATCATATGTGTGTCTGAATTGGATTCTTAACGAATATATTTTTTTTTTGGTAGTAATTAACTTCTGAATATGTATATGTTATTTAGTGGTACTTGAAAAGAGAAAATAAAGTAAATAATCTCAAATGAAACTTATGAATTGTACTTTGAGGTTGTCAATTCATCATTGAAATCTATAAAAATAAAGATTTTTTAGTTTATGCTTGTGAAAATATTTATAACTTGTTATACAAAAGGCAAAAAAAGTATTCATACATCTCGTTTTTTTTGGGCAAAATGTTTCATTATAATTTTAACTTGAACCAACGACAGATATCAATTACAAACCTTATTTTGCGTTAATTCTATGTAATCCCAAATTTTAAAATCTCATACAACTTTTATAAAATTAATATTTCAATAATATATGCACTAAAAAATTATTCGTACACAACATCAAATGTTAATGTTACGATAAGTTATGTTATTAAAACAGTGTTTTAACGTCTTATTTATAACCCGTTACTCCAGAAGATTAAAGGATAAAATTGCAGAAGAAATTATTTGTTTAGATCAGTACTAAAATATATTTCTTCGGCAACGGGTCGTAGGTCCAAACAATTGAGTTATCATTTTAAAGATGACCACGGGCGGATCTACGGGGAGGGGCTTTCAGGCTGAAGCCCCCCCAAAATGTAAAAATATAACCATGTTTTATAGGAAAAAAATTTAAAAAATACCTCTTAAAGTATTATTGTTCGTGTAATTACATTTAAAAGTACTTAAGGAATAACTTAAACACCATTTCATATAGGTAGTTAGTTTCTTTCTGTTTTTCCCAAAGTAATTATCGTTATTTTTATGAAAAAAAAGGTTTCGGGCTGAAGCCCCCCCAAAAATAAATGCTGTATCCGCTAGTGAAGATGACGTAAAACATTTTCAACAGGGTTTAAGTTTGGGTATATTCAAAAAAGGTTCTTTATGTCGTATCCTCATACGACAGCGAAATACATTATAAAAAAATTTAAATCCTAATCAGTGAACAATAAATTTCGCCCGGGGAGAGGGGGAAGGGGGGAAACTCTTGACTGTGCGAAAATCTCGTGAAATTGTGTTTTAAGTAACAACAAATCCCAAATTAATTACTTGAGAGGTTTTGGTTCACTTCCGGTCAGCTTATGGGAAATGTTTAACTCATCAAAAAATAAGGAATCGGCTACCTGAAGTTGGTTATAGAAGTAGAACGGTAAATAAAAAACCTGACTGTAAAAAACTGAATAAAAAAAGTATGGAACTATAATAATCTGACTTTTGACAAAATAAAATGTTTAGAATAATTAACTTTTTTTTAAATTATCATTATTTTCATGACCAGAAAGACATTTACCATCTGATGAAAACCTCATGATACAAAGTTATATTAAATGAAAAAAAAAATCAACAAACTCTCTTTAATTTAATGAATTGAATTAAACTGTGTTTTATAGAGTATAGAGCTTTATATAAATATTGTCATCAGAGATAAATGATTTTTTTTTTGGCACACATTGCTCAGTTCTTCTTTTTGTTAGGTTCTAGTAATGGAGTTAATTATAAAAAATACCTGCTTATATTCTAAAATGTAGCTTTAACCACAAACAAGTATCAACATGTACGTATAATTCAAGATTACGTTGCCTATATTTTGTTGTTTTCTGTATTATAACTATAATTAAATAACCATAACTTTATTAATGTACATTCAGATCATTCACACTAAACTAATTTTATTCAACTACTTTCAACCTTTAAATTGTTTACTAATAATTGATTATTATCAGACATTGAATTGTTTATTTACTAACACTTGAATCAGCACATTTGAATTGGTGGATATAAAAAAATCACCCTCTTTCTGAATCCAGTTTCTTGTCAATCAGAGACCCAAACAGTTGCAACATATACTTGGATAAGGTGAATTTTTTTTTAATAGGTTTTATAAGATCATGAATTTACAATATGAAATAGATCACGTAATGATGTATTTAAACTTGAATTTTTCAAAATATTTAAATTTTGAATTATAGTTTAAAATTTATTGTTGACTGTCATTAGCTATTAGGTAAATTAAGCCTTACAACAATTATTAATTAATGACATAACAAATGTATGCATAAATTTGAGCGATTTCAACCCAAGCAGAGAAAGCTTAAAACAAAAAACCGGTTGTATACATTTTTTATCTGAAGTATTAAATCAATGTTGTTTAGAATATAACACAATTTTAATTAATAATTGAATTTTATTATATCCATACATATTTAAACCTAACTAAATGCTTTTATTTTAATATTTCAGAAAAATGGTCATCTTGAAGTTTTTATTATTTCTTGGATGCTTCTGTTTAATGTAAGTTATTTTTCATAAAGTTATACAAATCAATCATACATATTTTCATGTTATATGTTATGAGCTAGTGAATT